CTCTTGTCGACTCTCCTGATCCTTCAGCACCCTTGTAGCCTCTTTTGGATGCTTTCTAGGATATAAGATCAAACAGTACTTAGAGAATTCACTCTAATACCTCATATTCCTCTTCAAAGATAAGTTACCTGCTTTCTAACAGTCTGAAGAACTTAAACATATATTACCAGCTCTTCCCACTGGCAAAGTTCATGCAGGAAGATCACATCCATCTGACATGGTTGACAGAATGCTCCTGAGGAGGACCTGGGCTGCAGCACTGACCTCCATCACCTCAGCACAAAGACTGTGAACCCCTGATGTCTTTGATGCTATTAAGCACCTCTCAAGTGTGGGTGAGAGCCAAAGCTCATGGTTGAGCCATGGCAAGTCTCCAGCTGGGCTGGATATCGATTTTTGGGAGATGTTAACATATTATTCTCCTCCTGGTTATCACCACAAGCTCTTAGTGCTTCCAAGTGGACAGGGGCTATTTTGTCAGTGCTCATGTCCAGTCCTTCCCTTTGCAGTTTAGAGGGGCAAACCCTGTATTTTTATTCTGCCTGCAAGAAAGTTCTATGGCTCCACAATCAGAAGCTCCAATTCAAGTGTATAAAGGTTTTCCATTTGTAGGGGATACAGAATTACTTGCAACATCCAGCTGGAAATACAATGCTAACATACAATAGAGCCATCCACAGCATCACTCTTTGTTCTTAATGGAATTTGCTTGTAAACAGACATAAAGAAGCACCAACTTGAAGGCAAGAAAAAAGCTTTGGTGGCTCTGTCCTGGGAAAACCTCATGCAACAGTAAAAAAAACCCCACAGTCTGCTTCCAGCCCTGCTTACAGTGAGTCCTCATGCACATTTTGTAAGAGAAACTGCCTGAGTATAAAAAGAAAAGACTCACTGAAATTGGTAACAGTGAACACAACTTGGTTTTGATCCAAAGCCAAAAATGTTTTATTTATTTGAAATGTAAACGGTTCCTTTATCAACTGCCTGTTTCAGGGGTTGTTTAGGGCAGTTTCCTTCCAAATAGGTTGCTCAGACCAGAGTTTTGCAAAATCCTGGGAAACAGGGAAAGCAGCAAGGCAAGGAAGACACAGAAACCCTGCTGTCTGATTTATGGAGAGTGGGATAGGGGCCTCCCATCCCTAGTGAAAGCATTCCCACAGCTGCCTTTGCTGGAGATTTGTTGCTGCAACAAAATGAGCAGTGCAGCTCGTGCTGCAGCCACCAGCATCGCTCCTGCCCACACCAGTCACAGCTCCGAGGCTCCTTTCTGCTTCTAGCCCAGACTGATCTCCAGCAGGGGAGCACCATGGGGGCACAGGGACCCCAACAGAATCCCGTGTCATCGCTGGACCTCTCCCCTCTGGGCTCCATGGGATTCCCACTGGCTTTGGGTCACCCTGGTCTGGCTCTGGCTGTGGTGGTGGGTACACAGACAGGGATGGGTGGATCCAGTGCTGCTGCTCTGGTTTGCCCTGGGCTTTCTAGCATGGCAAGGGTCTGCAGCCAGACTTGGTGGGAGCAGGGGAGGCTGAGATGCTGCTGGAGCTGCACTGCTGCTGCCCGAGAGCATCTTCCTGCTGTTTTGTGACAGGATTTGGAGGAGCTGGAGGGAAATCCGTGGATCTACCTTTACCCCGCCCGGCCCAAGGGACACCCCATGCTCTGGTGCTCATCCCACCAGCCCTGGGATGACACAGGGTTAAGGACATTGCGGGAGTGGATGGTGTTGGGAAGGAGGGGTGGTGGTAAAGAGAAGGGCATGCCTGTGGGGTCACATGTGTATGCAGCATTCATGAAAAAGAAGGGGATTGATGGTGGGATAGTGGCAGAATTAACTGATTGCATGAAGAATTGATTGGTGAGAAAGAAGCATCACAGGGCAGAGAAATCCCACAGGCACAGCCAGAGAGAGGAGGAAAAAAAAAAAAAAAACAAGGAGAAAAAGGGAGATGGTGCTACCGAGCTCTGAAGACTTAATCAGGTTATTCTTTTAGCATGTGGTGTTCTGGCAAAACACAAGGGGGAGGAAAATACCTGTTTGTGGGCAAGAAAACAAAAATAAACATTTCAACTGTTGTGTTTCTTCTGAAACGAAGAGCAAGACCCTCCCCAGCTATCAACCAGCAGCACAGACATGCTTGAGAATGGGGAAATTTATATCTGAGTCTCTTCTCTGGCCTTTTTCAATGCTACCCATAAGAGAGATGAGTTCAAGACATTGCGAGAACCATCTGGAGACTCATTGAATAGTTGTGTGGTCCCACTTCGAGCAGCAGAGACATAGCACAGCCTCCTCTGCTCCGGTCCTGCCAGGGATAACAAATCCCCCCCGCCCCAGAGCCCGTGGCATCTGAGCCTGGAGCGGAAAATCCCCTCTCGAGTTTTAGGAGGGTGCACAAAGTGGAGGTGTTTTGGCAACCATGACCCACAGAGCTGCTGGATTCCAGCACAGCCATGACCCCAACCATGGAGATCACCTCACTTTGCAATAATCTTTTGGAAGTGTTTCTGAACATATGGGGAATTTGAGTTGACTCAAGTGCTGAAAGGGACACGGACAATACTCTGGTTTAAAAAAGTCCTTCAGCCAGCATTGCTGCAAAAGATCCTTCGACCAGCATTTGGGCCAGTCTATGGCCCAAAAAGACCCACTGCTGATGACATGTGAGGGTGCCAGGTTGAATGCTGGTGAAGCCATAACCCTTTTTTTGAGAACAAAGCAAACGATTGAAGTCACCAGTGCCCCAGTCCAGGATGGGAGTGGGTGGGAAATGGTTTCCTGGGGGAAAACCAGCATCTCTGGGGCTCTGGCACTGATACCCTTCTGCAAAGGCCTTCAGCAGATTTCTTGAAGAAACAGCTGGAAATGTTCCAGCAGCAAATGTATCTGACTCCAAAAAATATCTTGCTTACATTAGAAGTGTCTGGATAGTGAAAAATGTAGAGAGGAGAAAGTGTCATGGGGCAATTAATATGCTGAGGCTGTACATGGTAGCAAGGAGAAGAAAATATTAGGGGAAATGACAGGCAAAGTCAATAAATAGTGGAGTGGTATTTGAAAAAGGTCTGGCACTTCTGCAGCTGGCTGGGCAGAGCACAACAGCTCTCTTGAATACTCCAACACTCCGTTTTTCTCTAATGCCACCACTCTTTTTTTCTCCTGAAGCTAGAATTTTCCTGTCAGCTGCAGAGTGCAGGATGGAGACAGCCGGTTCCCTCTCCATCCATCCCCACATCCTTCTTCCCACTGGGCTGGCCTGTCAGAGGAGTGCAGTGGTTTGTCTTTACAGTTCCTGCTCCCGAGAAAGTTGTCGGATTTGAGAATTTTAGGTTGTCAAATGAGCTTTGCTGTGGAAACCAGGGTGGTGCAGGTTCCAGACAGTGTGAGAAGGTGAGAGTTGGGGTCTGTACCCCCCTCCTTGTACACCCACAGCTAACAGCAGGTTACCTGATAAAATCAGAGACCCCTCCAGTCCCTCCAGGGGGTTTGCAAAGCCCACGGAGCATCCTGTGATGGGTCTCGGCACAAGAGACAAGCCAGTTCCACAGACCATGGTCAGGGCTGAAAGAGTAATTTGAGTAGGCAAAAAGATCAACCACAGGTTTTCCCTGCCAAAGGAGAAATATGACGTGGGACAAAAAAATTCCATGTTTGCCTGAGCAGAATAATCTGCAAATGCAATCAGCCATTTGTGTGATTGATGCTCCTTGCTCTGCTCAAACTTCTCCATCAAAATTGTGGGAGGGAAAAAAAAATCACTGCTGAGGAGAAACTCAGATCTCCAAAGTGCAAAGGACACAGCCACAAAACCCAGCACAGCCCTGAGGGAACTAACAAGAGTACAGAGCAGCAATTGATGTTCCCGAGCCTGCTCCAAGCGGCCCAGCTCCCCAGACCGGGAATCCGATCACGGTAACAAAAGCAAACAAACCACAGTTTAAATAGAAGCAAAGATGTTGGAAGGGAAAAACCAATGAGAGCAAATGTTTACTCTGAAGATGGGATAATTTAGAAATTATCGTTGGGAGCCAACTCTCCAACATTTTTAGTTTCAGAAGGTTTGCAAACCTCCTCTGCCAGTGTGGCCCCTCTGCCCTTGGACCTATAACCTGCTGCTCCCTCCAGACACCCCTGGGGAGGAGCAGGAGGAAAGGTTCCATGCCTCATTTTGGGGCACATTAGAGAATGGTTTGAAATGTATCAGCTAATTATGATTAGAGCAGAAACAGGTAAGGTAGTTATGGTTATGGACACACAGTGAAGAAGCTCAGGGGGGCATTAAGGAAAGGGAAAACAGACAGGCCCCAAAATGCAGAGTTTTAACATGGATTCATACTGAGAACAAGTTCTTGCTAGTTTTAGTTAAAAACCCAACTTTGGGAGCTGCTTTAAGAAGATGAAGTTCTGGAATTGTTTGTGATAGGAAACCATGAGGGATTAAGGAATTCAAGAGGAAGCCACAAGCCTTCTAGTGCCTACAAGGTCTCTGGGAGAGCCAGAGGGGAATTTTGGACAAGGGACTGGAGGGACAGGAGACAAGGAATGGCTTCCCACTGCCAGAGGGCAGGGATAGATGGGATGTTGGGAAGGAATTGTTCCCTGGGAGGATGGGGAGGCCCTGGCACAGGATGCCCAGAGTGGCTGTAGCTACTCCATCTCTGGATGGTCTTTAAGGTCCCTTCCATCCCACATTATCCCAGGATTCTATGATTAAAACCTGGCAGCAGCAGAGGAGAGTGAGGAATTGGGGATCAGGCACAGCTGCAGCAGCCAGTGCTGTCCTGTGAACACATCAAGGAGAGCTCAAGTACAGAGATAAGAGATATGGACAAAAGAGATAAAAATGAAGATGCTGCCTGGTGTTGAGCCTGCCATTTAAGGGAAGGACAACAACGTGATGACCAAGCCCTCCCAGTACCAGCCCTCCAGGGCAGCCAGCCCCATGTCTCCCTGAGCACTGCTGAGGTCAGCCCCACACACAGAAGAAACAAACCAGGTGTGAACTTATATTAATTTTATTCACATTTCCAGAGGAAAGCATCAGTGGAATGCAAGGTCATGGCTAGTGTTGAAAAGCTCAAGTATTTGGTTTAAAACAGGCAGACATTTCTGAGGCTGAGCCAAGCCCCTGCTCTCTTTCCCTGCACGTGCTTCCAGTTCAACTAACAGGAATTTCCAAAATAAGCTGGCTCATCACATCATGGGGGGGATGTCAAAAACATTAAAGCTCTCTGTGGTATAAATCCCTAAGGAGGGCATAAAAGTAGCAGGCAGGAAATCTTGTACAGCTGAACTGGCTTATCCCTGGGCTGAGGGTTGGGCTTTTCCTTCAGCGGCAGTTTTGCTGTCAGTGATGCCAATTGCTCCTGTCCAACTTTAATGTGATTCAATACCCAGAGCTGAAATTTGCTGCTACTGGATTATGGGGATGATTCTTGGTGATGGCACAGAAAAAATTTAACAGGACTCCCAGCCGAGTAAAAGAGGAGAAAAGGAGAAAAAATGTGATTACTTTGACTTTCAAAAACAACAAAAAAGGGAACAAAAACACAGCCAGGAATAAGATTTTGAGAACTGGAAATTCCTAATTGCACTGCTGGCCCATGGGAACTTGTCACAGCTCCGAATTGCTTCTAAGGAATATATCTGTATTACTAAGAGACTCCTGGGTTCAGCTGGGCCAACAACTGCTTCTTGCTGACATCCAGCAGACTCAAAATCCTCCCAATCCCAGCAGGCATTAACCAGCTTCAGGTTTGCTCCCCACAGAGTCACAACTTTTTTATTTTTGCTTCAAAGTGCACATTTCAAATTACACACGGCATCAGATAACCAAGGGCCTCTGCAAATCCCTGGCTGTGCCACAAGCCTGGAGCAGGACGGGGAACAGCAGAGTTTGGACAGGCAGCAGGAACAACACAGTGGAAAGCAGCACTCCCTGACACAAGTGGAATGGCACCAGCAACTGATGAATTCTTAAGTTATGGGGCTAAAAGATGAGATGGTTTAGTTTTTTTCTATCTTGTAAATATCAGGGAGTTTCAAATGTGTCCAGTGAAGACACTAGAAGTCTTTTTGTCCTGTGAAGTTGCCGGATTTAATTGGAATACAGCTATATTTGGGAAAGGAGTGGGTAACACATGTGTGCACATTCTTGCTTGCTTTGCAAAGACAATTATCAGATTACAAAAAAAGGCACAAGAAGCACATTCCACCTTCTTTTGTCCCTAAAAGGTTCCTCCTTCCCCCCTGCTGAAAGCACTGTGCTGGCTGTCACTGAACAACCTCCAAGTACACATTTTCCTCTTTGATCCAGCTGGCTCGGAAGCCCCAAGGATTAAAGATTTCTCTTCTGTTTGAATAATGTCACTGACTAGAATCTCATTGCTTGTTTAACTGATTCTCTTCATCCTCCATCTATATATAATAAAATAAATGAATTACTATTATATTTTGGTTTATTGCTAGAGGCAATCTGCTGTCCCCAAATCAGGCTCCCAAAGGAAGGAGGTGAAACAGAAATCTGGCAGGACCCGTTTGCTTGAAACAAGAAAAAGGCAAAATTGCACTTACCCCACCTGGCTGGGAGTCCCAGAGGGGGAAACTGGAGCAAGGAAGGGCTCAGGGTTATTTAGCAAGTCAGTGGAGAGCCAGGAATAAAATAGCCCAGCTCTGGATTCTCTGTTCCAGTTGTCAAGAAACAATTTTGCTCTGCCCAGAAGGCGAGTTCTGTCAGAGGATAGAACATGCCACTTACAATTCAAGTCTTAATGTTGACACTGGATATGCAGAGTGAGATAAAGGGATGTGACTCTTTGGTGAATATCCTGGTTATCGTATTAAAAATGTATTTTAATAAACTAAATTCACCCCTTGCCTAGTCCTTAACACTGCAATAAATTTCTCCCCTGCAGCTGCCTGGATGATATTTAATGGTTCAGCTATTAAATGTCCCACTAAACCTGTGTCTTCTCTGTGAAGGCTTAAACTCCTTAAATTCTTATTAACAAAAAAAATATATGGAAACAAACTGCTCTAAATATTATTCCAGAACTGGATTACTTCAGTGGTGTGGATTCTATTTACAATTTTAAGGACCCTTCTGCTTCAGACAAGTCACAAGAACCTTCTCAGTGGCAGGAAAGTTGGACAACGGATGTGGGTGATGCAGGAAGGGCGAACAAGTGTGTTCCTTGTGTCACCACACAGTATGGACAGCGTGTTTGCTCTGTTCCTGACAGCTCCTGGGAAGCCACGCTGGTGGCAGAGATGCCAAAGGAGTCTGAGGTGCCTGTGGATGGATCACATCACCATGCAGCGCCCTGAGACACCCACACACTGGCAGAGGCTGGGGGCAGAACCTGCCTTTGGCAGCTCCAGGTCATACCCCCAGTACTCCCATGGGTGTCCACACACAGGATTCAGCCTGGCAGCTATGGAGGAGGAGCAGCAAGGGCTGCCTGAGCTGAAGTGGTTCTAGAACAGCCAAACAGCCATCAGGGAGAGTGGCAGAGGGAGAGCCACGAGCTGGTGCTGCCAGCAAGACGGAGCAGGAGCCAGCAGGACTCACCACGTCTGCCAGGGCTTCCATGGGGAGAGGACAAATCAGGAAGTACCTGTGTAGAAACCCCCACCCAGGATGTCCATGGGCATGCTCCTTAAACTGGCTGTGCTGGAGCAGGAACCACCTGTGCTCCCACCCAGGAGAGCACAGGCTGCACGTGCAGGAACACAGCCCCAGACTCCACTGCTTTCCCCACACACAGCAGCTCTCTTTTGGGAAGTAACTGTTACCCCATTTTGCTGTTTAAGTCCTGATTCCTCTCTAATCTCACATCCCTGTGTGCCATGCCTGCTCCCCTCCCAGAGGCAGAGGAGGTGCTGTCCTGCCCTCCAGCTCTCCATCGGAACACGCTGAAGTCCACCTCAAGGGACAAAGGCCAAAGCACTTCACATTCATCAGTTTGGATGGTTCAAAAGAAAAGCCATTTGTTTCTAGGAAATTTGTTTACACGCACACTCTGGCCACTGCTGGCTTTCCAGCTCCTATTCCTAGCATTTGGCTGACAGTGGAGAGGGCAAGAACAAACACACACCAATCCCCAAGTGCTCCTGATTGTGCCATTTTGCCAGATGTTCCTGGCACAGAAGGAGCTGCACAAAAGCACTGATGGGAGAATTACAGCTAAAACACATCTCTGTCTCCAGCAGCAGATGCCCTTATGGGATCTTTGCCTACCCAAAGCCCACCTGCACTGCCCCTGCCTCCTGACAGGGAATGACAGGAATGAAGACATTTTGCTTGCTGGCAGAACCAGTGCATGCCATCCCTGATGGAAACCCTCTGCCCACGCTGCCTTCCTGCCGGGTGTAAGCAGTCCAGCAGCCCAGGGTTAGTTGTTGTTGTCACAACAACCAGGAGCAGTACGAAAAACTGGAATTTAACAATCAGTCCTGAAAAGGTCAGCTCCTGAGTCACAGCAGTGAAGGATACAGGGGGATTGCTTTGAAGTGCATCTTTTTCCTCTCTCTTTTATTATGCAGAACACAATCTCACTGGTGATCACTCAGTCTTTCAGGCACTATCACTGGACACAAAGCCAGTTTTACTCAAAACTTTCTGCTTGCTCCTGCAGCTCCACCAGTGCTACCCTGGATTCCCCTTAGAACTGGAGGTTTCTTCGTGATCTCAAAAAGAGATTGATATATCAAAACCAAATTCAATTACAAAATATAATAATATCCTCTTCTTGGAAGTGAAGCTGCCCCATATTCCAGACTGTGGCAGGATCTTTATAACCTCAAAACATTTTTACTAAGTTCTCCTTAAAATATATCAGAGTCCCAGTCCACCTGTCTGGCGTGTTGTAATGCTCACAGCTCAAGATCCATTGCCTGTCAATTCCTCCTGGATCTGCCAAAGGCCTCTTTTCAGTTGTCTTCTGCAGACTTGAACATGAGGATGGCATTGTAAATCTTCAGGGCAGGGCCCAGTTTGATGCTGAGTATTTTAATGATGTCGTTCTGCTTGAGGAGCAGGAAGGCCTCACCGTCAATCTGCTGGAGGTTGGAACACAAACAGGGGTTAACCACCAAGGGACAGGCAGATTTCCACTTCTGGTCATTCTGGGATTCTTGCCTAGTTCTGGCCTCTACACCACATGATGTCCCCTTTCCAAAGGACACAGACCTCATCCCACAGTGCTTTCCCTAGAAATGGAAAAGCTCCACGTGTCCTGCCCATGGCAGAGGTAGAATGAGATGAGCTTTTAAGGGCCTTTCTAACTCAAACCATTCCATTATTTCATTTGCTATACAGATTAAGGCATAGTGAAGATGCAATATGGCTCGAAAAACAGTCTCCTAATTAATCAACAAGGACATATATTTCATTAGATGCAAATTAAGCAAGTGATGAACATACTACCATGTGAAAATACAGGATGCTGTAGGTAGCATGGAGACACACTGTTTCTGGAAAAGGTTAAAAATTTACTCGAGTAAGAATATCCACTGAGACAACACAGATATAATTAACATAAACCCCAAATGCTGCAGGGATGAAGCCAAAGATTAATGGACACAGACAAACAATATATGTCTCCCTAAGTTATTCCATTAAAATCCATTTAGAGAGACTGACAGTGTCTCCTCCTCTCACTTGATGCTCACCAGTGCAGCACACAGCACTGGACAGTCAGCCCAGCCAGATTAACAATTCTGCTATTTTTGTAGTCTTCCCAAATAAAATATTTTTGGATGTCAAAGCCTGGTGCAAGGGAAAACACTGAGTAAACTCAGAGAACACATAATTAAAGCAAAGAGCTGGGAGTCAGGAGATTTGGTTTTCCCACCTCTCACCACAAAAGAGACCCTCAGCAAGTTACTTAACCTGCTACTTAAGTAACTGGGAAGTTAATTCCTGCACTGGGAATGGCAGCATTGCTCCCAGACCACAGATGGCCACACCATGTCCTTGAATCTTATTTTCAAGTTGCCACAAGTCTACGCTGCTGCAGTGAATGTGCAAAAAATAGCTTGAAACAAATAGGACTGTGCTACTTAAATCAAATAACAGAGTCAAGAAGAGCAGAAAACTACTGGAAAACAGTCCTACATTTCAAAATGGTTTTGCGCCCAATATTATTTATTCCTATGCTTAATTTTCATTGCACTTCCTTACACTTGCTTATTTTAAACAGTCCTGGCCTGAACTGGACCTAGAAGCAAGTCTGTGCTTTATTATTAATTCCTTTGTTCCATGTTATTTGGATGGGTTTTAGAATTCTTTGCACAATTTGTTCTCTTCGCTCCTAATGTAAGCAGCAACTTATTCCCCTCCGGCCCCCCACCAAGGGAAGTCTGCAAGGGATTTATTTATCCTGGACATGAAGTACTTGGAGGCTGATCCTGGACAGTGTAGGGGAGTTCAGCTCTCCTGTCACTCACACCTGTATTCTGGCCAAAGTCAAACTGCTAAAAGGGTTTTCATTAAAAACTGACAACGTGGTTTGAGCATAAACTGGAAAAACAACACAAGCCCCTCTAAATCAGGTCTAGGGAACCCCACTTTGAGGCTGCAGAAAATAAGAATCAGAACAGACTGTGGCTATGGCACTCTCAGAACCAGAAAGTATTGGCTGTGTTCAGGAAGAAGAATATAAAAATATGAAGAATACCAGAAGAAATAAAATACATGGCAAATGGTTGGATTTATTAGGAGATTTGCTGGTACTTCTCACCTCTGTACACACCTTCCCTAGAAATCCCTTTAACACAGCTACAGTCAAAGATGGGTTCATTTGAACAAATTTCACTATTCCCACTATATTCAGTTCACGAGTATCCTACTGTATTGTCACATTGTGAACAGTGCTTTTTGCAAGCCTCTATTTCTTTTGCTTCCTATTTTGTGTGAGTCTGCACAGGTTCTAAAACGCGGGAAAACAGAACACAAATACATAAATCCACAAAGTGCACTGCAGCCTGATTGCCCCTGAAAAGGAGCCAGTTCTGGAGCAGACAGCGATTACAGAACTGCCCTTTCCAGTCACTGCCATGCAGAAGGAGAGACTCCAGCCCTTCCCTGAAGCTCTTGCAGCCACATTGGAGAGCTCTGAGGACAGTCACAGAACCATGGGATGGTTTTGGTTGGAAGGAACCCTAAAGCTCATCTTGTTCCACCCCCTGCCATGGGCAAGGACACTTTCCACTATCCCAGGTGGCTCCAACCCCTGTCCAACCTCACCTGGGATATTTCCAGGATGGGGCAGCCACAGCTGCTCTGGGCACCCTGTGCCAGAGCCTCTCCACCCTCACAGGGAGGAATTTCTTTCTAATGCCCACTCTCCTTCACGTTAAGGCCACTGCCCCTTGTTCTGTCACTCCTTATCTAAAGACCCTCTCCAGCTCTCCTGGAGCCTTTTAGGCCTGGAAGGGGTTCTGAGGTCTCCCTGGAACCTTCTCTTCTCCAGGTGAGCACCCCCAGCTCCAGAGCAGAGGGGCTCCAGCCCCTGAAGCATCTCTGTGATCACCTCTGGATTCACTCCAGAAGCTCCACGTGCTTCTGATGCTGGTGCCCATGGCTGAAGGGAGCTCTGGAGGTGGGGAATCACCTGAGCAGGACAGAAGGGAAGAATTCCACCCCCATAAGCTGCCCACACCTTGAGAGGAGTCCAGGACAAGATGCATCTGTGCAAATTCATCAGGGGTTCCTAAAGAACCTCCAAGTGATACCTGCAATGTAAGTGGAAGCAAGAGATCCCTGTCTGCAATCCACCTACAGAGCTGTGCCAAAAACCAGGACAGCCACACCTTGTGGCCATGAAGGTCTCCCAGAGGCCACGGTGAACACACCAGGAATAGCACCAGAGCCTAGCCCACAGCACTACTGACAGGACACACCTCACACAGAACATGCTCTGACTTCCCAAACTCTGCTTGTCGAAACAAAAGGTTCCTCTCCTGCACTCACCCCAGCCCATGAGGGAAGCCAGCAATTCCTGGGAAACCCTGTGCCTGCCAGGCTCCCCAGGAGAAACAGACACATGTCCTCATTAGAGGCAGCAGATGAGATCCTCACTAACCATTGCAACAGGGCATCTTTAGAGCAGTGCCAAACCCATGGTACAACGGTCCAAGACAGGATGTTAAGCATAAGCTCAGTGATTGGAACTGCAGAGGAAATTTAAAGCAGCAGGATGCCATTAGCCATGGTGGAATTCAGCTCCATGCTGAGGCTGCCTTCTAAATGCCACTGCTCTGCAATTAAACAGGTGAGCAGGTCTGAGCTCTCTGCTGTAATTCCAGGGATTTGCAGCACAGGGTCTGGGCACATTCCACTTACCTCTTCCCTGAACACAGATGCTTGTTCTTTGCAGCCAGGTAAACGCTGGATAAAGCTCACCACCTGCAATTGCATGTAAGAGAAAGGAAACACAGACAATTAAAATGAGACACCATCAATAAAAACCCTCTTATTTCTGTATGACAATTCTCTATGGAATAATTTTTAAAACTTTAATACTCAGAACGCTCACATTAATGAACGATAAGATGGAAAACATTGCTGGGTTGTTGCTGCAACTCCTCTGTATATTTTGGTTACCACCAATAACTGCCTCTATTGCCATTTCACCATTTCTCTCCCTGTAAGAATCCAGTTTCTCCACTCGTCTAGAAGGTTCTCACAGAATCAACATTATTTTTCCACATAAAAAGCTATATATGGCTTAGACTACTTTAGATTCACTCACAACTTCACTTTCTTTACAGCACTGTTGGAAAGTAAAACTAACATGAAAAAAGGATTTAGACAGTTTCCCAAGATGACATGCCTCTAAGAGACAAGATAAACCAACTGAATGAGCACTACTGGTTTACCAACATGCAAAGGCAGAACAGAAGGAAAGGAGTTTTGGTTTCATTTAATCTGCGCTGGGTAAAAAGGATCCACGGAACGAAGAGGATTAAACAAGTAAAAGTTAATTTTATAATTCACAATATGGAAAACCTTTTTAGGCAAGGAATCTGTTAACATTTGGAATAATCTCCCTGGAGTCATGCAGGCAGCCCTGGGTTACATTATGTAACACCAACGAGTGTGCAGAATATTGTGTGCAGTCAAGGACGACTTAAAATGCATTGTCTTCTCCAGCTGCAGCTTCACTAGTTCACAGGAGATTTGTATATTGAGGTGTTATCAGATCAAACATGTCCTGTTAATTGGATGCTCCCCTGCAGGAGCAGCTCTGCTTCATGAGGCGCAACCGTGTGAGTTGTTGCACATGTGACATTTCTTCCCTGTACGCAAACAAGCAGTTGGGCGGGGTCACTGTCGGATACATGCTCCCTTCAACTCAAAATTGTCAAAGTCTCTCCTAAATCACATCCCTGTACCTCTAGATCATCCTACTCCTAGACTTGGAGTCATTCCCTCCCCCTCAGTTCCAGCCAGGCAGGAACTGGGCTCTAAGAGTGCCCTCCAGGTTTGCTCTGCCCTGGCAGGAGCAGCTCTGACTCCTGTGGTTTCTGTTATGTAACCTGAAAGCAGAGCATCCCTCTCCTTCATCCTCCTCTTCTGCTCCATCTTAAAGGCAACCCCTAAAATCCACATCTCTCTTAGGCAATGACTCAAAATTGTCTTCTGCAGAAGCGTAAACTCATATTAATAACGAAATTCTACTTTCCTTTTGAGTCCCCCTGTCTGCTATTAATTAAAACACAAATGAAAATCCTTCTGCCAGATCTGGTTCTTTCAAGAATTTACATGTCAGTTGGACCCTTGGGGCAAGAGCTGGGTCTCTTCAGTGTCTGTGGCACTGAGAGGCTGGCAGACATTTCCAGGGAATGACCTGGGCTTGGCTTGCTCCTGTATCCTTCTCTGCACAACTGCTGCTGGCTACTGTCACTGACACGGAGTGACAGGGATCTGCCCCGAAGTCCTTCACAGGGACACTGCAAGCATCCTGTGCCACTGGAGAGGCCTCTTGAGCAAACAGCAGCCCTGGGGTTTACTAGGAATGGATAACAGAGAGGGAAGAAAGATGCAAGAGCAGAAAATGGGAGAGAAAGTCCCCAGACATGAGACAGACTCCACTGAGCCACAGGGACCTGCCTGGCTGTCACTGCTGGGGAGGAGGGTTCCCAAACCAAGACAGGGCAGTTGAGGGATAAGGGAGGCTTAGGAGCACACGAACAAAACACCACAGAAATCCAACACAACCCCACAATATTGGCAGGGAAGCCTTGAACCCTGAGAAAGGCTGAGACTGGAAGGGCTCAAAGTGAGGATGCGACAGGGTGTTGGACAGGTTGGGAACATCTCAGTGGGATCAGAGTTTTTCTATGAAGAGGTGAAAGTCTGCTGGCCCTTCCTGCTGTAACCATGTCATGGCTCAAAACTGCCTGCTGGAAACTCTTACACTCCCAAAGCACATTGGTAAAGGGATGGGCTTGAAAAAGAGCTTTGTGCAATCCTGAGAACACCCTGGAAACTGGACATGACCCTTCTGGAAGGTGCTGATGTGTGGCAAGCTTGCTGAGATCAGCACAAGTTGATGGCCTGTGGTGACAAGGCAGCCCCACACCACACCCCTTCAACAGCTACTCCAGGACTGATCCCCTCTGTCTGAGGCCACAGACAGGAGCTGGGTTAACAGGGATTTAGAAATCCACTTACACTTGGCACAAGGACAGTTCCCAACCCCCCCCCCCCCCCCCGGGTATTGGCATTTGAAGCAGGATTAACTAATGAACAATATAACTCTAGCACATCTTAATGTTCTTCTGTGAGTCAATAGTGTGTGCTCTGAAAACATGACAGGAAGCTTTCAATAAATACCAAAGCTGCATTAAAGTAACTACTTTTAGTGACTGCTCAGTGTTACCATGATTTTCTTAGCGTGAGGGCCCCTAAATACTGCCACTGCTGCTGCTCTGCCATTTAAACTGCTCTCAACCTGCAGAGGATTAAAGCAATGTTTTTTTCCCTTAATGGGGGTTTTATAAAATAAAAACAGTTCTTCAGCATGAAACCAAAGGAGAATTTTACACCCCCATCGCTCCTGTTTCAGATCAGCACAGGACTCCTTTAGACTCCTTCAGGACTCCTTTGTGCAGCAGAGTTCAAAGCACAACCCAAAGGCAAATGTCTGCCATGCAGGAAGGTGTTGGGAGCCCAAATGCCGACAGACAAAATGTACTTTGGACTCCCTAAAACACAGCAAGTCCTGCTGCTTTCAGCTCCCAGATCTGTGGCTACATTGCACTGCACATGCTGATCGTGCAAGTGCTCAGAGAGAACCTAAACTGATTCCTCCGGGAATTTGTGATGAACGTCATTTTCAAAACCAGACGCACTTTACTGAAATTCAAGATAAAACCTGCAATTACTTCAGCCAGTGCATTGTGGTGCTACAACTGAGCTTTTCAACGTATCATTCACACTGCTACCGGCAGCCAAAAGTTCCCCAGTTGTTTCAGGCTGCAGCAGAATTCAGTTTATTCCAGGTTTGAATCACTACATCCAGTGTCCTGTATCCATGTCTGTGGTCCCTGCTCACACTCATCCGTTATCAAACTAATATCCCAGCTAAATTTACCCAGCAGTTGCTTTAAAGGTCAACTGCAAAGGACAAATTTTATTTGGCTTGGATCCTGACACTGTACTCTCCCATGAAGCAGCCTCCTGTTTTATCCGAAAGAAAGAGATTTTGATTATCATGTCAGAAGATTATCTGCTTCTGACTTTATTGATTTGATAAAAGATCTTTTGGACAAATCATTGGAAGCTTTCTCAAAAGGACAGGAACAGTAAATCTTTCAGCGATTTTTTTTCCTCCTCGGTCTGAATTTAATTCTAAGACATTTTTATTAAAAAGAACAACAAAAAAAAACACAACTAAAACCCAACACTACCACCAAACCACAACAACTCAACACAAAAAAGGACCAGGTTTTAAAACATCAGCACTTATTGCTCTGTCCCTTTTCCAACTGCTGTGGTTCCCATCTTCCACATCACTGCAAGTCCCACCAGACTCCTACAACTCCTCCAGCATGAAGAGCAAAGCCAAGATAGGATTTATCCGATGTTAAGAGGCACTTAGGGAAAATGCACTTTCTAAAAGTCTCTGGAGATCCCCTCTGCATCATGAGCAGCAGCACCTTTTTCCTGCTTTGCAGATTCCCTGCATCCTTGCAAGCACAACACTACAGCACATTTCTCTGGAATTAAATGCCCTGCAATTAAGCACCAAGATCCAAATTATAGCCACTTCCCAAGCGCAGGGAGAAATATTTATGCTCAAGGCATCAAGGCAAAAACCAACTACTCAGCACACAAAACACTCTGGCTTTTTCACACAACACCTAATTACAGGAGACATCTCAAGAGCCGCAGAGACACATCTCCAGCTGCACAGCTACCTCTGCCAGAAATCAGGTCAGGCTGTGGGCAGTTTTGTTCCCACGGAATCAGGCAGGGAGACGCAGCAGGAGTGGGCATGCACAGTGCAGTTTGGAATTCTCTGCACTGTAAAAGTGAATCAGTAGCAAAGTCACAGGAGAGGGGGAGGGAGATCAGAGAAAAGAAATCTGCTGTCAGAATGACGCTTCAGGCCTGAGGACTGAGAAATCAAGGGGTAAATAAATAGAGGGAGGGAATCCAGTTGAGGGCAATAGGCTGTGGATACTAGATGGTTAACAGGGGTCCTTCCCCTCCCTGATAAAGGGTCTTGGGTCTAACTTCCAGCTGAGTCAGCTGTGACACACACACAGCAAACACAAGAGCACTGCCTAGGAGAGGGAAGGAAATAAAGATGTCTTCCAATAAGCACTCCAGAGAAGAGTGCTCTGGCATTCCTGCATCCCAGGATAGTGGAACAGAGAACAGGTAACTCACCTCCTCCACTGTCCATTTGGCAACTTGTTTGGCTGTCAGGCCTGAGACCTCCGGCAAGAGCCTGCAGTGCTGCTCCCAGAAAAGATGGAGGCGGTGGGTCGGGTTAGAGGCCAGGGAAGGCATGAAGATAGACTGGTGTAGGGCCTGCTGGAGATCCAAATCAGGGTCTGAAAAAGGAAACAAGTCAGAGCCAGGCTTCAAGTAGGAACAACTACAACAAAGCAGGAAAAAGGGTCACAGCCTGGAGGTGAAAGCAAAGCAGGGTGAATGGAGCAGGCATGGCTACTGTGTGGCACATGGAGCTCTTGGGACATTCTCCTCCTCCTGAGGAGAAAAGGGAAAAAAAAGACAGGACTGCCAGGCTGGAGGCTTTATCATTAGCTTCTTCCCTGGAAAATGATGTCATGCTGCTAACAGAGAAGATGTTTGCAGCGTTTTATTGACAAGGTGGAGGAATTCTGGTAACAGCATCCTCGGCTGGGAACTGATGGCAGTGTTCCAGCCCCAGCTGTAGCCAGAGTTCTGTGCTGCCAGCATGGCCTGGGCTCGCTCCCCAGGAGACTCCCAGTCCAGGAGTGCTCAAGGTACCTCCAGACATCAACTCCCTCCTCATGTGTCAAGTGAAGCTCTGAAAACCAAGGCAAAAAAAAGGAGGAAGGAATCACCCCTCCCTAATGAGATCGCTGGAGCAGTGCAGAGTCATGGTCCTGCAGGGACGTGCTGGTTATACAACAGGAAGCCAGGCAGAGGATGGGAGCAGGCTGGGAAGCACTCCTCCGGTTTACAGCGGCACGGGGGCTACCCCCGACCTCCCTCCCGGGGGATAGGATGGCCCAGCGCCATCCCGTGGCATTCCCGAGCATTCCCACTGTATCCCAGCCCTCGGGAAGGATCCGTGTGCCTGGAGCAGCTGCTGCCCCTGCTGCCCCTGCTCAGCGGCTCTCAGCGGGCTGGGGTGTAAGATGAGGGGGGGAAGCAGTCACTACTGTGGAATGCACAAAGGAAAATGGCTGAAATACAAAGAAAAAGCAGATTCCCAGGGTTAGCAAGCTGTCCCCTAGCTGAAGGGGAAGCAGCTCTGGAGGTAAAGCCTGTCCTAGTGAACAGTCACTCCCCTGGCCCAGAGCGCACTCAGCTCATCTCATCTCCACATCCCTAACAGTCATGAGACAGCATCAAACAACATCAAATTTCTAATAATGAAACCAAGGGAGGATAAATACAGCCTGAGTAAGAACTGCTCAGTTCAGGAGCTCCTGGTGGCAAGAGGGCACAGGACCTGCTCCAGAGATGGCTGTCACCCCCCTCCTTCCCTGCTGTAGTGGTGGGGACAGACAGCACCTGGTCTTGTCCCCCACCTCCTGCTCCAGGAGGTCCCAAGGTCTCCCCCACTGCCACATCCCTGCTGGGTGGGCATTGCTTCCATCTCAGACCAATTCCTTTTCTCCACTAAGCACAAATCCTTGGACTAAGCACCCAAACCATGACCTAGACAAGTGACTTTCCCTCTGACGAAGAAGCAGTGATCTCATTGTTTAAACGCAGCTGGGAGGAAGGCTCTGGGTAATTGTGAAATTACAGGTCAGTGGATGATTGCATTTCCCTCCCCAGATTTCCATCACTCCATGGAAGATGAATGTGAAGGGAGAGTGGGCAGCTTTCCCTGCCAGCTGCAACTGCCACTTGGAGCTGGCAGATCCCTCAGCTCTGACTGCAGAACTCAGCACTAGGTAAAAATGAGTATTAAAAAAAAACCCAAAAAAACAACATCCAGGCACCTGTCCCAGTTTGTGCCCGCTTAGCTATTTTTGATTAGAGACTTATTACCATCTCAAATCCTCCTAAAAGCCTGGTCAGCTCCCTTCTCTGAAATGGCTTTTTATAGTAAATCTGAAAGTTAAGCATATGGTTTGCTAAAGTGGCAGCAGAAAGCTGCTCTGGAAACTTAACCTGTCACATACCAGGAAAAAAAAACCAAAACACTGCTTTTCCATTTAGCTTTTCATTTTGTTTTTAATCCTTAAGAGAAAGGAGAGAAAGAGATCCTTTAGAAAGAGATCCTTCAAAAAGTCCTCCAATGATTCAGAATATGTTTCTGAATACCCATGAGGGTCTAAGAAAAAGGGGTTGATGGAACCTAAACTATCTGCTAAGTTTTGAGGAAATGTCCCTTGAGCCCTGTGCTGGCTCTGTCACAGCCTGACACAGGTCACAGACTGTTTGGGAACCCCTTGTCACTGCAGAGGAGTTTGCAGTGGCACAAAAACCAGTGCAAACATGTCTTCTCAGTTAATAAATACCACTCTACAATGTATTAAACCTTTCACTTCTAAGTAATTTTACCCTTTCTCTTAATTTTAAAGGAAGAAAAACTATCATTGCTATCATCTCCAGCATGTGCTTTCTCTTGACTGTGGAATCAAAGACAAAAAAAGCTGTGAATTCTTAACTGTGGGGATATTGCAGAGATAGGCACACATAGAGAAAGAAGGAATAAAACTTAACCAACCTTTTGCATTGCTTTCCTGTTTCACCAGCTGAAACTTGATATAGGCATGTGAGCACCCAAGCCTGAAAGCAACAATTACAAAACATTTCAGAAGATACAGAAATGGATGTAATTTCTTTTCCATACAAAGATAAGTGAGATTTATAGAAACTAATTTTTTTTTCCTCCTAAAATAAGCAATAGCTCCATCCTTGACCTCTCTCTGAGCAGTTCTCTTAAATTCATGGCCAGAACTCAGATCTGAGTTTACTGCAGGAAAGAGAAGGCCCAAAACAACAGGAGGAAGGGAGGAGATTTACCATGTCATTCTAAAACACTCTGCTGCAAAACTTCAATCAAATTGGGCTGTTTGTTATTTACATCTTTATTTCAGATACTGCAGCAGCATCAAGAAACACAACTGTTAATGCATGAAAATACATCACAAAACTCTTGTTTACATTTTTGGTGCAGCTTTGATATCTGCAGAGAAATCCTCCTCTCCCCAGCCTCTCTCCCGACTGTCTTCTGACTGCTCTGATGGAGTGTGGATGCTGCTTTGACACCACTTTTCACTGTCTGGTGCAGATTTTCTGGAAAGACAGATAAATGACAGTAGCTGAGCTGACATCCTCTACTCCCTTTTCCCAGAGGAGAGCAGAGCCGGCTGCTCCTGGCAAGTGAGAGCAACAACCACCACCTTGTGGCAGAACTTTCCTCTCCCCTCCATGAGTACAAAGTGCTTTGCTCCTCTTCTGCAAGGATTCAGAGAGTTTAAGTGAAATAAATCAGCCTCTGTGGACTCAGGTTCTGATCCCAGCAGCTATAGGAAACAACTGTGTTACGGTGAAAGCAAGAGATTTAAGGTTTCTGAATCTCGATACTTCTGGATAACATTTTAGAGTTTCCATGACTAAATTTGATGCATAAACTGAGCTACAGAGTTGGCCAAGGGAAGACAAGCAGCAGGACACCAGACTAGGCTGAATTCAGACCTCCCACTATCAGGAAATGAAATACTTACAAGAAAATAAATATATTCTAAAATGCCATTTATTCTGTGAGAATTCAAAATCTCCCAACAGCTTTATGGTAAGAGTGCCACTGAAATGCAATCAATTTTGGTGTGGAAATTAGGGAATGAAGATGCCTGCATAGTTGTGGCATGGGAGGAAGCAATTTGGCCATGAAGGCTAGGGAGGAGAAAGAAGCATTCACTCCTTTTTTCTGGACAAACAGATCTTGAAAATGTTATAAATCTAAACAAATAGATGAGCTTTAAAATATAGATAAGCCTTCACATACAACAAAAAACTAAAGTATTACTGGAGTTTGCCCTAGTGAGACTGGATTTGTGAAGACTAAAAATGATCTTAAAAAACCCTTCATATCCTGGTCTGTCCCATGACAGGTTTAACCAACTCCTGCACCCCAAGAACCAAGGCACAGTTTCCTTCAATGCTGCTCAGTTGTGAGACTTTCTTGTGACAAAACAAAGTATCTGAGAGTGCTCAGCTTGTTTGCTTGCTAAGAGATAACACACACAATGCTTAGCAGACCCAGGGTGAATCACAGTTACAGTTTAATAGCACAAAATAAACTTGATTTAACAGTTTTAGGACAGGAAACAAAATCTTAAAATTTAAAATTCAATTTTAAATTGAAACAGCAAGGAAAAATGTATGAAGACAGAATGCAATTTCTGTTGTTGGAATGTGACCAGAGCACCAGGATTAAGGAGTCAAGAAACTTATTAAGGCATTTGAGGGTATAAAAGTGCATTGCTCTGCATTAAGAGTGACTGGGGCACACGTCAATATTACAGACAGATGAACTTAATGCTCCACTGTGTCGCTGCCAATTCCAGTGGTTTTCATCCTTGTAAATGGTTTTGCTCCCCAGTACCTGGCCAAGAGTAAAATCCAGCTCACCTGGATTGTGAAGAGTCACCCTGAGAAGACTCCCCTGCTCCCAGCAATGGGCCAGGCGTCTCCAGCCTCTTGGCTTTCTGCATGATGTTCCCAAGGGAAGGTCTCTCCCCACTCAGCCGGTCCTGTAAGAGGTTTTCTCTGCTGAGGTTCATATCAGAGTATGGGCAGCCAACTAAGCTGTGATGGAGAAACAAAAAAGAGAGAGGGCAACGAAAGCTTTACAGTCATACAGTCTTCCTTACTTCAGGAAGAGAAATCCATCACAAATCCAGAAAAAATGAGGCCACAAATTCTTAGGAGGTGCTGTTACCCAGCTCTAGGTGTGAGAAAGCAAGGGACTATATGGCAGAATTAAAACCCAAAGTCATGTTGTTAAAGAGCAAGAAGAGCTCGTCCTCTGCAACTTGCTTATCAGAACATTTCATGGATCAACAGACTTCTGCAACTTTCAATCTGAAAAATTCAAAGCCCTTAACTACATTATAAACTACCAGGTCTTCTGACCTCCCACCTGAGATTGTTCTCTTGCTCTTAAAATAATTTACTTGAGAAAAAGCTTCCTTTTCCAAAAGCACACAAGAAATCAAAAGGCAGAGCACAAAACATGAGCAACCTCTCCTCACCTACACTTCAACATGCTATCTATGCCCTCTCCTCTTTAACTGTCTCCTTGCATGTTGTTCTTGGGTATATTATTTCACAAATGTAACTCCTTCATTACTGCTGGAATGTAGAAACTGGAGTGAATGAATCTGTTTGCATTGCAGCTATCATGATTACAGTGGTATAACCAAAATTTATGATCAAACAGCCTACTTAGACACAAGAGGGAGCTGCGGTTGCAGTTATAGCTATCTCCAGAATAACCACCCGGAGATAATTTCAGTGCAGTGCAGTTGCTCAGAGCTGCATCACCATCATTATTATTATTGCTGTTGTTGTTGTAGCTGTTGCTATTGTTATTAACAGCACTCATCCACATACGTGTAATGTGTTCCATATCGGGGGCCCCGGACGTGCCCGATCCCCTGGCAGCCCGGAGTAGGACACGCCTGTCCCACTGCTCCCTCTGGATCTTCAGCGCCTGAGAGTAGTAAAAAAAGAAAGATAAACAGATTTGCACATGAGGAGCAGACTGCACTTAGGAAATTATACAGCATAACAAAAGCGTGTCCTGTATTTACCTCGAGGGACTTGCAGAGCGTGTCCAGTTTTGTCACACCAGCCCACAGGATGGATGTCAGGGCTGTCTGCATCCACCCAGAAATCATAGTCATGGTCCCAGCCATCAAAATGTATCTGAAAGAAGCAGAAGTCTCAGGGAAAGACAGAGTTCAGGGCATGATTCAGCTCTTACATTAACTTCTCCCTTTGTTTCACCTTGCTCAGCTTGGGGCTGATTCATTCAATCTTTCAGATCAATCTTTCAGTTAGGCATAATCATCTCTGTGCTCAGTCTAACTCTTTGTTTTCCTGCATCTGTGTTTCACAGAATAACCAGCTTCTGGTGACAATCTGTCACCCCACAGCCCATGGGATGCTCTAACATGCAAAGTCCAAAGCTATGCAAATACAAATGCTTATTTGTTCATTTTCTGTGGATCCCAAAGCACCATAGAAGCCAACAAGTTTTGTGAGTTTTGCAGTGAACAAGCTGCAATTTTCTGCTGGATGAAGAGACTGGCAGTAGCTCAGATCCAGAGACTGAAGATCACTGGAGTTTAAAGGCTACTGGGTTGTTCATGCAGGAAAGTTCAATGTATGAATTGAGTATCATGCCATTATGGACTGGCAAAGCTTGGCTTTTGTTCACAGCAATGAGACTCAGAATCAACCAGATAATGGGGAGTGAATTCCACTTCTGCCCATGTAATCATCCTTTGGGAAGGAGATCCTTTGGCCATGGAGTCTCCATCAGTGCAGCCTCCTCTTTAACTGACTTGTACTTAGTTCCTCAGAAGCCAAAGCACAACAGATTATTTGGGCAATATATTTGCATGAAATACCAGGCTAAAATGCGTTGATGTGACAAATTTGTACTGGAGAATTACACTACTTCCCACATTTACCAGAGTTTAAATTGCTTTGGGTTTTCCTTTCCTGGTAGGAAAAAAACACAGTCAGGCAGCTTCCCCAGCAGAACACTCATGGCTGCCATCAGTCATGGAGATCACAGGGAATATGCCAAGAGATAGGACATCACACTGTCAAGTGTTAGGTCAAAACAGCTACATTAGAATAGTAACTAACACCAGCCCAATTCCATCAGATTTCAGCAAAACAAAGCAACAGCTGGGCAGGCCTGGAGGCCACAGCAGCTGCCAGGCTGTTGTTTGCTGCTCCTTGTTCCCAAGTGTTGTTTTCCCTGCGCTGCCCATCCCATGGTTCCCAGCACAGGTTCTGCACTTGGGAGCAAGGTCATACCTTAATGCGATGGCTGTCTTTGTCAATGATTGTTGCCACTCTTATCAAGATGGGATTTCGTCTGTCCACAGCCTCTAACTTCGTATTAACCTGGAATCCGTGAGGAGGACGCTGGAAGGGAGGATTGTAAGCAGAATGCTAAAAAGCCTCGGAGTTCAGAGCTGGTACTTGCTCTGAATGAAACGTGCTCCAGTTTCCATCCACCCATAGCTGCCTTTGCAGCTTTGGGTTATGTCACATGGCAGTCTGTTCAGAGGCTAAAATCAGAGTTTCCAAGAGGTTAAAATCAGAGTTCCCAAGAGGACTTAGCTGAGTGTTTGTCAGCAGCCCCAAACTGCTGGAGAGGCAGCCTGAGGGGGCTCAGCACAGAGGAGCTGTCCCAGCCAGAACAAGAGACCCTTCCTTCACAGACAAAAGGCCAGGGATCACCACGAGCAGCTCCACTGACACGGCCTCCTGAGCCTGACAGCACACCTCCCACACAGTAGGGACGTGGTCTTCTCTAGAAGAGGAGACTAAGAGGGGAGAGATCTCAACAGTCCATATGAGTATCTCCAGGGCAAGTGTCAGAGCATAGTGCCAAACTCTCCAGCAGGGCCCAGTAACAGGAAAATGAGCAACGGCCCTAAAATAAACCACTAAAACCTCAACACGAGGAAGAACTTTCCATGGTAGCAGAGCACTAGAACAGCTGGCCAGGGAGGGTGTAGAGTCTCCCTCCCTGGTGACATTACAAACACACCTGGATGCAGAATTTCAAACCCACCTGTGTCACCTGCTCCAGGTGACTCTGCCTTGGCAGGGGGTTGGAATGGATGATCTCCAGCCTCTCTTCCAACCTGACTATTCCGTGATGTCACACCAGCAAGGACAGTGGCCAATTCCCCACTCTTCACAGCTGAACACAACATTGCGTGAAGTGTCTCTTCACTACCCTATATCTTCCCTGGCCTCAGCTCCTGGCTTTCAGTTATCCTCATTACACAGATTACCCCTGTGCTGTTTGTGAACAACTGCTGGGAACTGCTGTGCTGGGGCTTACAGCAGCTCTGGCCCCAGAGCCTCCCCCTGCAGAGATTCACTCATCCTTTTCTTCAAATCCGGAATACTTTGGGAAAACTCCAGAACGTCCTTTAACCTGATGTGTGCCCTTTGCAGCACCCTATGTAACCTCTAAGCAACAGACAGCTTTTACCAATTTTTCCATTTATCTGACTGCAAATTCCTCCTCTGACCTCCTCAGCAGGGGGTTATGGATGCTCATTCAAAACATGCCCCTCTTCACTTCTGCACACAGAGGTGAGGGTTTTAGCATGAAATGATAAATTGTCTATTTGAACATGACCAGGTTAATGAAATTATTAAAATCACTCTTCCCTCCCAGTCTTCCTTACCCTTGTTACTGCCAGTGGCTGGGGGCAGGAAGGAGATGCACTCCTGGGCTAAGAGGCTTAACTCCATAACTGAAGTTCCTCTTTAGCCATTTCACCTGGACACAGACATCTATCAATGTGCTGCCAGACACTGGACACACCACAAAATAGACAATCTAAACTGCTTTTATTTTCAAGAGCATTTTATTGAACCAGGCAACCTTGTCTGTCCTCCCTGAAGAAGGAGATGAATGCTCAAGGTCCAAATCCTGCCCAGAAGAGGAGCCAGGCTCTTTGCTTAAGTCTTGCTGAAGAGTTGCCGCCCTTTTGGCAATAGCTTATGAATGTTTTGGAATTGCCAGCCCAAGAGGATGGGCTGAAATAACAATGCTTACACTGGAGATGTCTCCTGAGTTTTTGGGTGGAGAAGGCAGAAATCCAGACCCAAGACCTGCTATTTGTGCTGATGACCTGTGTCTCCAGACTACATAAGACAGCTCTTTAAAATTGTTAAAAGCTAATTCAGTGAGAAATGCCTGTTCTGGCTCTCAACCCACATTTTTATGTACTGATTTCCTGTAATTGTTAGCTGGAATAATAATTATTATTTTTAAAAAATCAATAGCTTTGCCATTTATTTGCACTTCAGTCCAACCAAGCCAGAAAAAATAACGAGGTTTGGTCTTGAAAGAGTCCTATTAACTGCTGATATATTGAATACATTTTCTTTTCTGTATCATTTTTGAAACACAGTTTTAGATGCTAATTTGCACTCTGGAGTTTTGTGAGGGGCAGAATTGGCCCTTCTACTTTTCTTTCAAAGCCTGATACCTGAAGAAGTAGAAAAATGGCTGCAGAAATGTCTGGAAAACAGGAAAGGAGGCAGACAAGGCAGCTGCATCCCCCTTGGGAAGACACTTCACTTCGGAAGAATCCAAAGAAGGAAGTTCTCAGTATAGAACAGGCTCCCTGTCATGAGCAAAGCCCTTTTATGCTCAGATGACATCTCTCACCGCACTTTAGACCCTGAAAATCTGAAGGAAGAACCACAATGGCAGATCTTACAGAGAACTTGGGCTGGGAGTTTTAAGTTCACATCTTCCAGCTCTATTGGGATTTCAAAAAAGGTTAGTCCACTCTTGGGGGCAACAACTGTGTCCCACTAACAGGCTCCACTCCTCATCCTGTCCCTGGCTCCAAGCTGCTTTGCAGCTATGGGAAACCTCAATCCCAGGGATGTCTTGGATGTGATGCAGATAACTCCAGTTAAAGCTCTACAGGTCTCTGAAGAGGCAAAAGCTTCTTCCACCTCCCTAACACCACTTTGCAGCCTGCACCAACCTCATGTGGATACCTGCTGAAATCTAGCAAATTATCAAACCTGTCTAGCTGGATTTTTGCCTCTCTTATCTGAGGCCTCTCTGATTGCTTTTCCTCCTCAGTCCCAAAAACCTTTCCACAGAAATACACAGGAGAGCAGCAGGTATTAACCTGCAACTCCCACTTCAGAAAAAGGAACCAAGACAAGTGTTACAATGGCAAAGAAGAGTTTTTAAACATATTGCAAAGTTTAGCAAGGTGAGCCAGCAGCACTGGAAGGGAAAAAATCAAATTAAAAGTACAGTCATTTTAGAGGCTTTTGGTTTGTTTCTGCTTACAGTGAGATTCCAGATAAACACACTGAACTGCAATGAAAGAACCAAAAACTCACTATCTCAAGGTTGAGAGAAGCACCTTCACGCTGAATCTGCAGGATGGTCTTAGGGGTTTGGCAGAGATGCTCTTTCATCTGTTAATACATTTATTTCTGTGGAGGGCACAGCTGGCTCCTCCCCAGAAGGACTATGATCTATATCAGCACACATAAACCCTTGGTATGAACTTCTCTACCTTAATTCCAGCCTCACCAGCTAGGGAAGTACGGATTTGCACACCTGCAAGGTGAATTTTAGAAAAGTTTTTAAAACTTCATGTAGAGGGGACACCAGATAACTGCACTCTTTCTCCTCTCTCTGTGCCCTCTGTGAGGCACTTCCCACATACCTCTGGAAGCCACAGTTACCTGTGTGGACTGAAGGTTCTGCCCTTAAATCTGCTAATGGAACCACTGAAGATAATTAGTCAAAAATCCTTTCCAAGCCAGCCTTCCATAGTATAAAAAACCAAAAAAATCTTGTATTTTGCTGTGTGTTTTTGTTTTAGCAGCAGTGAGAGGATCTTAAACTCAAAGCAAACCAGTTTCACCTTCCTCGCACAGACAAGGTGAACCATGCTCAAATAAAGTCTCTAGCAAAAAAGGGCGGATAACAGCAACTGAGCAAGAGCAATCAAAGATATTCACCTACCAATTTAAAGGCTCTTGCAGGGGCTGCTTGGGAATTAGTTTCTTCCAAGTACTTCTCCCACGAGAAGGCTTTGGAATCCCTGTGTCCTGAAAAAACAGAGAATAAACATTTCTGTAAGAAAAACCCCACATTTACTGTTACAAACCACAAAAAGGCAGCTCTGTGACACTGTAATGAGCACTTGCAATGGATGGTGCAGGAAAGTGGCCTGTTTGCTCCTACCCACCACCTCCACCCAGAGCAGCTCTGCCAGTTCCTCAGTTTTACACTGGGCTTGAACCCTGGTGAGTTCACTTCTGCACAGCTTAATCGATTCTTATTCTCTAAAGGAAACTCCAATTATGAGCTAGTGAGATGATTCTGTGATGGGCAACAGCATCACTACATTAATTTCCTGTTTTATTAACTACTCTATGTGTGAGTGCCTGTAAGACTGTAGAACCTTCTCCTCTCCTGCTGCCCGCTCACCCAGGGTGAGTAAACCCAGCAGTCTGGAGAGAAAAGGCTCCATGGGTGTGCTGCTCTAACAACAGTGGGATGTCTCTCCCTGGCAATTACATTTAAGAAACTGCTCTACTTCTTTCCTATTTCAATAATGTTTACCCCCAGGACAGGTTCCTTCTGGCAGGAGGGTGCAGTGACTAAATGCAGAGCACAGTCTGCAAACTGCTGCATTTAAGTCCTTCAGCAGAGAGACCAGAACTGGCTGCAGGTTTTGTGGGGGCATGGGAAATCCTGACATGAGCAGAGAACTGCAGGACTTCACTCAGTCCTGAACATTCCAGGAGCAGGGACAGATGTGGTGCAGCTGAGAGGGAATGTTCACAACCCTTTCTACACCTATAGTGAAGACAGTGAGGCCAATTCCCCCCCATGCAGAAGGATCAGGAAGTGCTTCCTGCTCCACTGACCCTGGAACACAGCAACTACAGGAATTCTTGCTCCAGGGCTGTCAGTCTGACAAATGTCAGACTTAATTGCTTTATGTTTGCTATTTTTAAGTTGAACGAGCACTTCCAAGGCCTGAAAACAACACTGTTTTCCCTGTACGTTCTGTCCTCCCTTATTTGCCAACATTCTCTTCATTTACCAAATTCCAGTACAACAGAAAGAAATGTGGATTCAGTTACTCCTTCATTTCCAGAAATTCCATCTAGGTAATCATTAGAGCATGGTGCTAACAATGCCAAGGCAGTAGTTCAATTCCTGTATGGGCCATTCACTTAAGGGCTGGACTCAATGATTCATGTGGGTCCTTCCAAGCCAGAGTATTCTATGATTTCCAGAAATGCCATCTAGGAAATCATGGTAGAGATCCCTTTTTCTCCCAGCTGACCTTGAAGGAAATGCTGGAAATCCTTCTCACTTTTTCCCTTATAAAATCAAATTCAATTATAAATTACCAAACCCTGTTCCATTTTGTCACAGATTGCAATATGTAGCTGGGGGTGTGTATTCACTGCCACCTGTCAGAGCTGGGGCAGGGCTCTGCTGCTCTTTGGGCACTTTTCTTTATCTCTCCCACAGCCAATCCTCCCTCCAGGAGATCTCTGCTGTTCATGGCCACTGAGTGTCCCTGCATGGCTGAGAAAATTCCATCATCCATGGGGAGATGCTGCGCCCAGGGGAGGAGCCGAGCATTCCTACCTGGATACAATCTGACCTGGGAACAGCACAGCAGCCTTTGCCCCCTGCATTCCCAGAGGAGCAGCTTTCTTCCCCACTGCATTCCCAGAGGAGCAGCTTTCTTCCCACTGCATTCCCAGAGGAGCAGCTTTCTTCCCACTGCATTCCCAGAGGAGCAGCTTTCTTCCCCACTGCATTCCCAGAGGAGCCCAGGCCCATCTCCCCCAGCCCTGGAGCTCCAGAGGAAAACTCCCCCCTTGTGCAGGATCCTGCTCCAGCAGAAGCACAGCTGGCACTGCAGGAGGGCTGAGCCACCCTGGGATGGGGCTGCTGCCACCTCCCTGCCCCACAGGCTGCCAGGCCTGCTCTGACTCTGGCAGTGTTGTTCTGTATTACTTAGTTTTTATTTTTATATGTTAATTTTTTTTTCCCTAATAAAGAACTGCAATTTCTACTCCCATATCTTTGCCCGAGAGTCCCTTGATTTCAAAATTATAGTAATTTGGAGGGGGGTGGTTTACATTTTTCATTTCAAGAGAGGCTCCTGCCTTCCTTAGCAGACACCTGTGTTTTCAAACTAAGACGGATTTCTTCAATGAACTATGAAACAACATAAATTGCAATGGCAAAAGGTAGGAACAATAATATTGTTCAGGCAGTAAAGAGTTCTGAAGCTAGCTGGAACTTGCAAATATGTAATTATGTGGAAGATATAGTTTGCAGGTTTTCTGGCTGAGGCAGGAAGTAAGTCTTACTTGCAACCTACCAGGTGGTGTTGTCAGTGGAGTTCCAGTTTCTTGGCAGTAGCCGACAGGACGGATATATGGGCTGCTCGTTTCACACCTGAATCAAAGAGGGAAAGGTGGCACCAGTCAGATGGAAACCAAAAAGAAAGGCAGGATTTCAATGCTGTCTGATAGGCCTTTGCTGGGTGAGCAGATGCTTTCAGTGGGTGTGATCACGGCGTAGAAGACAAGCACTGCCTGGTTAGAATGTGTAACACTGGGTTTTCAAGGCATTCAAGCTGTCCCAAAAGAAAGGGAGATACAAAGTAAATTTTGCAGTGGTTTGGTTGGAAGGGATCTCATCCCGTTCCACCCTCTGCCATGGGCAGGGACACCTTCCAATGTCCCCAGGTGCTCCAAGCCCTGTCCAACCTGGCCTTGGACACTTCCAGGGACCCAGGGACCGCCACAGCTTCTCTGGGCACCCTGTTCCAGGGCCTCCCCGGCCTCCCAGGGAACATTCCTTCCCAATATCACATCCATCCCTGCCCTCTGGCAGTGGGAAGTCATTCTCCTTGTCCTGTCCTTCCATCCTTTGTCCAAAGGCCATCTCCAGCTCTCCTGGAGCTCCTTCAGGCACCACAAGGAGTTTTCTTATCTCCAATGCTTCCCAGACAGCTCAGGCCACCCCCAATGGTTCTGCACTGAGCTGCCCAGCACCCAAACAGGAACTACTGGGCAACTGGCTCTTTGTGAAAACCCCAAGTAATTATTCAGATGCCTGAGAACTGATATAAGATCCCAACTCTAGGGCCTGCATTTAAAACAAAGCCAGTCTACCTTCAGACATGTATCAAAAATAGTCTTTTACCAGTAGTCGTAGCTCTCATCCCAGTTATCAAAATGGATCAGCAGCCGGTTTTCCACCATGTCTGTGATGGTGGCAACACAAACCAGTGATGGGTTCTTCTTGTCCACTGCCTCCAGTTTCATTCCCAGACGAAACCCAGAAGGTGTGACAGGCTGAGAAACAGGACAGCAGGAAAGAGAAATCAGCCACATTCATGGTCAAGCCATTGAAATCCCCCTTTTAAACTCCTTTGACCCCAAAACCTACAGACCAAAACACACTACAGTGACTATTAAGAGGTTTGCAGACAGGATTTTCCATGAGTTCTGGCAATGACTATTACTAAAAAAGAGCTAATGTGGCTCAAAACCCAGCATTTCCAGGTACACCCACCACTGCAGACTCCCAGGCTGAGACACCCTGCAGTGATTTGCTGAGGATAATGGGCATTGCACATCCTGTTTTACTGGTGGAAAAGTTAGGAGACTCTTCAAGGAGACAAAGTGATTGAAGTAGGGCAGAGCTGGGCCCTGATCCGACTGGAGTCAGTGACTGCCCATGTGCAGCCTCTAATCCACCAGCCCATGGGCTTCATGTCATCCCAGTAACATGGAATGGGATGGAGGATTTCACAGGAATTGAGGTTAACAACCACTGAGAGAGCACCAGTGGGGAAGGATGACAAGTGCTCAAGATCCACAGCCCCACAATTAATCCTATGGCACACATGAGCATGCTGCTGGAATCCAGAAATTATTTTGGAAATTATTAAATTAGATGAAAGTGGCATAAATATCTTGACCATAGGGGCACAGTAAAACAGATGGTTGTAATATATTTAATAAATGGTTCAATAAATCTTTTCCTCCAGCATTAAAGAGGAAGGGAAATACAAATTCTTTCTCTGGAAAATCAGTGACTGAGGAAAGGAAGAAAAATTGTACAAGTTTTCTTTCTTAAAAATAAAACACAGCAGGAAGTAGCTTGCATTTGATTGTACCATGGTTGTACCTCTGACATAAGCATATTAACACCACATAAATATTCTGGTCAAAACTCACTTAGCACCAGACCTATTGAAACCCCTTCTATTCCATATCACCACTTACACTGCTGGGGGTCTTAAAAAGGCTTTTTGGAGCTGCTTGAGCTTTGCAGTTCTTCAGATAGGAAGTCCAATTAAATTCTCCCTCCTTGAAACCTAGGAGGAGAGAAAAAAATGATTGCTTTACATGGCCCTGGTACATTCTAGTGAGTTTTTCAGAAATGGAAATTACCTGGAAAGAATATGAACTTTGCGTGATAACTGCCCTGCTATGATCTCCAGAGGCTGTGCATTTCAGCTAAACCAGCTCTCTCTTTTTCACCATAATGTCCAATCATTAATCTCAACCTTCAAATGTTTCTAGGAAATTGAATGCAGGAAAGGACTGAACGCAGGAAAGAAACAAGTTCTGAAGCACAGACAGACATTCAATCCAGAGTTTCTACTGTGACTAACAAGGACAGTCTTTGGGAACATCACAGAGAAGATAGTTTGCTCTTTTGTGAGTCATTGTGTTAGTTAAACCTCTTCCCTTTAGCCCCTCAGATAGAGTTCCATGATGAAATCACACTAAAAATGAAATATGTAGAGCCAGGACATCTTAATCGAATTTATGGTTTCTTGTACACCGCTCTATTTTCTGTAATACCTTTAGGAGGGAGCAGCTTATGGCTTGTTTTTTCACACCAGCCCACAGGGTGGATGTCTGAGGAATCAGCATTAGCCCAGAAGTCGTAGCACTCTGGGTAACCATCAAAGTGCAGTCGCATCCTGTACCCCTGGACCTACAGTGACAGAAGCCCTGATTATCACCAAGGGTCACAAAAGAGAAAAACAATCACTAATAAAACACTCCCTCATATTTGACTTTCTGAGAAAGTAACTTAGGATCTCGTTTATTTCTCAGAAACTCTAGTTGTATTTTAACTAATTTGCTCTCCCAGTTTCCATGCTCCTCTTTCCCCACTTCAAACAGCTGGAAATAGAACTGGTCAGTGGAACCTTCCTGAGCCCCTGCTCCATGCCATGCACACATGCATGGGGGGTACAAAAGCAGCCCCAGAACTTAAATGTCTGTATCAGATCAACCCAGATTTCACATAACTGAAGCTGCATAAAAGTATTCAGACTTGTTTATATTTACTAAGTCTTAGGGCCTCATGGCATTGTTCTCTTTCATATTTGTTCACTACAGGCAATTAATAGGTTTGCTATTCTTAGCAACAAGTGTAAAAATCTGCCAGTAGGATTTCAGGCAAAGATCCTTAATTACATAACACCTTTCCTTCAGTGTCACCTTGAATTCCTACCATTAATTAACTAACTAAAGTACTATTACTCTTACGTTTCTACTTTTTATTAAAAAAAAAATTCTAGATGTACATGGGACTTTTGGAATCAAAGACAAGAAAAACAACTACCTCAGCAACGGTGAGAACACAGAATCGAGCAGGGTGTTCCGGATCCACCCCTTCCAATTTCATTCCAACTTTAAATCCATTTCGGCCTTGTGGGAATGACTGATACTGTGATGGGGGAAGAAGCATTTGTTTTTAATCCCTAAAGACCAAATCTATTGCAGAGCAGTTATAACATACTTAAGGCTCCAATTTTCATATTTCAGGCTTCAAATGCTCAACTTAGAGAAGAAAATCCCACCCCAAGTGACTGTGGCTTCAACAGACAGGTGCAGGCTCAGGGATCAGCAATGGCACCATCACCATATTTCACATTAGTCGTTATTCTAATTAATCTCTCAAAACCACTGCACTGTTGCAATTAGCTACAAACACATCCTTGAGCAGATGCAGAAATGAGCTCTTCTCAAACACAAAAGAATCCCCTTCCCAGATCAATGCAGAATCAAAGAGCTGGGAAAGCTACAATCACTTTGTGTCAGTCCAGACTCACACCAAAAGGTAACTTGTCATCTTCAAATCGTGACAAGGAAAGGGACAAGGCAGGCTAGATCTGCAGCCCAGTTGCACAGTTATTCCAAAAAACATTTGTGTTTTTTATTTATCTGCAGTCTTAATCCAAGTGAAACAGCTGAAATACAGTAAAGTTTAAAAGCACCCTGAACTGGGATACCAAATGACCCAATGCAGGACTGGACCTTCCTTTTAAGCTGGCTCTGGAAGGACCAACAGCCCTGGGCTCTGAAGAGCTCACTGGGAGCCGCACATTTAACTGGGGTGCAGAGGCAGCTTCACCAAGGCTGAACCCAGCCTCTGGCACTGCCATGACTGACACAAGCCCACCCTCCCTCCTGGCACTCCCCAGTGTGCCCACACCATTGCCCGAGCCAGCAGACTCATGGCATCCCACAGGGACAGGCTGGGAGGCTCTGTACAATCCCACAGGACATGTGACAGACAGAAGGCTGTCCCTCTCAGCCCTCCTTGGAAGCTGCCTAACAGCCCACTGGTCCAGAGCAGAGCAGATCCAAACAGCTGCTGCTTATTTGTAAGATTCAACCAGCATTTTTTACACAGTTTGGGATGAGGCGCCCAGGGCAAATTCCTGTTTCCCTGGCCTACATGTACCAAAACAATTCAGAAATACAAGTGCTAGCTTAAGGGTGGTCTCCAGTCCCACCCCCACCAAGCTGGCAATCCTGTGACTGCCAGTAATCCTGTGATGTTGCCCGAGAAAAACAGCAAGAGAGTGAAAAAAATGCCAACCTCTCTGAACAGCTTTTGGGGAGCAGCTGGCATCTGTTCCTCTTCCAAGTAGGAAGACCAGTTCCATGCCTTCTTCTTTCCAGGAAGCACTAATTAATCAAAAACAACAAAAAAATGAACACTTCTCTCTGATGTCTCCTGCTCTGCTTCTCTTCCTCTCTTCTCCTTCTCCTCCCATGTTTGCTGTGGCACCCCAGAAGAGGCAGTGTTACTCAACTTTTGAGGAAAGGTTTTGCTTGCCTTCTTTGCTTTTGCTTGCTTTTGGAAATTCCAGCAATGGGAAAACTGGACTCATTCCTCAGGAAATGAAAATTTATTGTATCACAGGTCAAATGAACTGTGGCACCTGCACTGCTGGCAAGCTGCCCAAGGAAAGGTGCCAAGGGAAAGTCTGGACAAGGCAGATAACTTAAAATTGTTAGAGTTAATTCCTCCTCCTGACATTTCAGAGGAATAAGGGGTTAAATATAAACTAACAGGCAGCACAGAGAGGCATATAATTGCAGCTAAAATAAGCCTAAAATAAAATAAATTAAAAACCAAGCTATTTTTTGCTAAGTTCACAGTATTTTTTTTATATACACACATATATTTATAACCTCCTAATAACACAATGTATCTACTAGGGAGGCAGCTCCCAGATGATGAAAACAACTTGGATTCATTCTGGTAGAACCACAGTCATACATACGGAAAATTACATTCTAAATGTGTATTAAAACTCTCCCCCCAGTTACATATTGACTGATTTAAGGTATATAATACATTCAACTCATAGTCTACAATCAATCACGTTGTTTACAATTTAGTTTTTACTTAGCACTGTAGGCTCTGACTGAAGCTCTCCAAAGCCAATGAAAAAAAGATTCTTACTGTCTTCAGTGAGCTCTGGATGAAGCTGACTCCTTCCAGATCCTTACTCTGTGTCCATCATCCAGGCAAATCCAGGATATTCCTACTAATACACCTCTGAAGCTGACTGTGGTAAGAGGGTTATGTACCTAATAAGCTGTTCTGAATGTGAAATGAGCTCTCCTGTCCTTTATTCTTTTATTTATTATTATTAACTTTATAATAGCTACTAAAAAAAAATCTATAACATTAAAGAAAAGACTATGAGCTTAGCTCACCTTGTTTTATTGGTTTAGTGTTTCTGCGGCTTTTCATATTATTTGATTTATTCTTCTCCTAGACACAGATATGTTAAAAAGAAGTTTAGCAAGATTGTTTTCCCTCCCCTCTGATCATCTCACAATGCAGGTACAACATGGATGTAACAGGTAACTAAAAGGAGGACTAGCCGGCATTGCTGTCTGTTGAACAACCTTGAAAGAACATCAGGAGGGAATGTTACACAGATAACGGTGATCTTGGTATGCCAAAGTGCTTTACAAGTTATTTAATATATGCTACTGAAGTTCATTTAAATGTGGCTGTTAAAGAGCAGCACAGGACCAAAATCCCCATTACAATACAGAGGATTTGCTTTCTGCAATGCAGGATTTGCTGCTCACATCAGCAGCCTTACTGAATACTCCTTTCTCCCTTCCCTTTCTTACATCCATCTGTGCCAGGGAATGGATATAGGGAGAAAAAAGGAATTTATGAAGCCCTGAAGGAAGCAGAACCTTCAAGTAACTCTTGTCATAGATAAGTACTCCAGACAATGCGGTCTCTCTGTGTCACACTCCATGCCTGACCGTCATTGCCGTTTCTTCTGCGTGTTTGCAAACTCAGGTTTGATTCCTCCCAGGCTGTCATTTCTCAGAGCAAACCAAAACCAGGCAAAATGTGCCATACAAAGCTGCCTGCAAAACATTCCCAGAAGGGACAGGGGGCAGTTTCTAATGAGAACAAGGAGAAGGGGGAAGAGAGAGACTGCAAGGACTTCTGAAAACATCCATCCCTTAAAACACTGCACCCACATCCCAGAGAAAAGCTGAGCAAGATGATGAGTTAAACTGCTCATGACAGCAGATGCTGCAGCTTTATTGCCCCTGTTCTGCCATACAGAACCCTGTATTATGTGATTAAACATAAAATGGCTCAGAGAGGTACTGATGGGCAGGAGCAGAGCACAGGGCCCTGGGAAGGAGTTAGGGGCTGCAGGAAACTGAAGGAAAGATCAGCTCAGGACTGAGGTACTGCTGTTTATGCACCAGTAATACAGGTTTCTGGTAACGCAGTGAGAGTATGTCCAAGTATGTAATAAAATCCAAACAAACCCTGTGGTTTAACACTGATCTTCAGTATCACACAACAGTATTTGAGTGTAGTTGTTCTGGAGATATGTGGTGTTATTACAGTGAACTCCTGACTTTCACTTCACATGAGCTATTCATTCACCCCTGTGACTCCTCAGAACAGATATTCCCATCACTGATGTAAATCAGGATCAGACCCAAACCATTCCCTGGGTACAGAACCAGCTCCCTCAGCCCAGCTAGCACTGCACAAGGAGCCCTGAGACAACTGCCCTTGCTTTTCACAGCTCTCATTAAAGGAAGTACATGCAGCCTCATTTACCTCATCCTCATATGCATTTTCCTCCTCATCCTCTGAATCCAGAGGCAATCTTCTCTTCCTCCGGAGACGTCTGACAGGTCTGCCAGCCTCAGTCACCTGATTGCCACTGCTGGTAGTAAGATTTTCATTATTTCCCGTTTCTGCAATCATCTGGAATGTCTTTGATATCGTTAAACATCCAAAATCAAAAGCAATATAAAATTAAAGCATTATTCCTGCACTGTTTCCAGTGTCACTGAACTTCTTGGAATGAGGAGGCCTGGGCTGAGGACCTGTAGAAATGAAAGGTGTCTGCAGGATTTCCTGGATAGAGAACTGTAACACTTGGTCTGACAGGTTCATTCTACTCACAGTAACACCATGCTCCCTTCAAATGTTTTCAAACAAAAGATGGGGAAAATCTGGGATTTCTGTACCTCTCCCTGTGCTGCTGGAAGCCTGTTTGAGTACAAATCTTTCCATTCTCAAAGCAATCCATTTGCTCACAGGTTTGGGAATCAGAGCAGGGCACAGCTTGTCTTGGCACTGCAGAAGTAAAGAAAAAGATAACAATCAAATTAAAATGTTAAAAACACCTTTCAAGCAGTGAGTTCTGTCAAAGTCCTTTACAAACTTTCATTAACTGACACTCAGTATCCCACTGTGAAGGAAGTAACTATCATCTGTGTGCTGCCACACCACCTCAGTAGAGAAAATCCCCTTTTACTGGTAATGTTTTAATTTTGGAACACTGGTCTCCAATAGTACTCTCAGGCACATCTTGGTTTACTTGATGATCTTAAAGGTCTTTTCAAACGTTAATGGTGCCTTGATACTACCTGTGTGGGAGCTCTGCTGAAACAGTGAGTAATTTAATCAAAGGAAACTGGTGATTTACAAGGTAAGTGATGCTGAACAGCCTGAAGGGCTGACCTCGGGGAAGAATGACCGACTTGCAGCAGTTTGTGGAGAACTGTTGCCCATGGGATGGACTCACTTTGAGAAGTTCATGAGAAACTGTCTTCCACGAGAGGAATTCACTGCTAGAGCAGGGAAGGACTCTAACTCCTCTCTGAGCAGCAACAGAAACAACCTTGTGATGAACTGACCATAACCCCATTCCCTGTGCCACTAAAGGGAGGAGGGAGAGTTGGGAAGGAGAGAGGGGTTTGACACTCATCCCTGCTCCAGCACAGCCTGTCCTGATAAGGAAATCACAGGAAATCCAGATGCAGAACTAGAAAACCCATCCAGACACACACAGGGCAGCTTTAGAAAAGGTATGATACATGGCAGACTTCAGAGATTTAAGCTTTGGAGCTTAAAACACAGGCCATGCAGAAACACTTTACTGGTCCAGATAAAATTATTTTAAAGTGTGCTAAATAGTGTCACTGTGCATCTTTTATTACTCCTGACCTGCAAATGCAACCAAGCATAAAAAAAATTAAACTAAAAAACCACCTTTCTGATGAGCAAATAGCTGCAAAGATTACCCATTCCTCGATCTTCTTTACTGTGTGCATTATGGAGCTACTGAACTCCAGAAAGAAAGAGGCAAGTCAAAGGTTGCATTTGCAAGCTCTGGTCCAAAACTTTTATTCCAAGCACTTCATTAGTCTGAGATCTTTTCTCAGCCATTTGCACTTCACTGAAACCTCAGTCTGAAAGCATTTGCTTCACTCTGAAACAGGGCTATTTTGTTGAGTGGAGAAGCCCCCTCTGTCTTCAACTCCTATGTGCTCCCTGGTCTCAGGATCCTGCCTCCACCACCCTATCAAAATTTCATCCCACATGTTCTTCCCTTTCTTTATCTAAAACTTGTATTTCTTAAAGCTTCAACAATGCTGGACTTGCTTCTGAAAGGCTCACATCCTTCTCTCCACCCCCAAGGAGACAGAGCATCACTTCATTTCAACACAAAGAGGAAGAAGATTCTGAAGAAATTATAATTCTAAGTGGACTCAGCTTCCTGCAGGATTCCATCCAGTTCACCTCCTTCAAACACTTCAGGAGCAGCACCATCCTGATGCAGATTCCAGAGGCTGAGGCTGGTGGGACAGCTCAGTGCCATGGCAGAAGGACAATGGAAGGAGATCTCCAAGTTCCACATGCTGTTCCAGACAGAGTTCCTGTGCCCAGGAGCGGGGAAGGTGCCCATGGCACTGCAGGAGCAGAGGTCTCCAAGGCAGTGACACCCCTGCACATGAATGAACAGCTCTGGTTCTGCCCAAACTGGTGCAGACAGAGGTTGGAGCTCCCTCCTGACAAAATCTCAAAGTGCACCTGTGGCCAAGTGAGCTGGGGAAGCCCAGCCCCAAACCCAGAATATATAAATTTGTATTAGAAAAACAACGAGTGTCTTTACAAACAGTCTCTGATCTGAGGGTGAGGCCTGGCTGATCACAGGGGAAACCTCCAGTTTCATCCCACAGCTCTATCCCTCCTTCCTAAGTTCTGGAAATGCAGAATTTACTATCAGGACTGCATCTTCCTTTACACAACAGAGCTCAGTAGAGCAGGTTTGCTAATATGAAATCCACACAAACCCTCCAGAAATAATCTGTCCTTCCAGAGATGCTCTTGAATGGTATTAAGGAAAAATGCATTTTGTGCATGTGAGAACTGGAATATAAGAGAGAGGAGGAAAAAGGATTAAATAGGAAAAGAAAAAGAATATATATATTTGGCATCTTAAGGACAGCTCTCTGGGCAGCCAGTTATTGTATTCCAGCTGAACGTTCCAACCAGACCCATTAACCAAGGTACTGAAGGCTCTTACACTTGATCATCTAATATAAAACAACACATTATTATTTGGTGTTTTTCAGTCTAATAAATAATGTGCTGCTTTGTTGATTCTCTGCTATTAGGAGGAATCAATAAAAGTGAAGCTGTTTCTGCAGTGGAATGTTACTGCTGGGCAAGGAGCAGAAGCATAATGACTTGGATTGAACACAGGGCAAAAGTTACACCACTGCAAAACCACCCAAAGGAGTCAATGGACCAATTCCATGTTTTATGGGAGAGTACACCGCTGATCTCAGAACATTCAAAGCATGAAGGTTTATCCACATCTGTTGGCAGAATTGTTTCCTCATAGCTTAAGGTTCTTCACAGCCCTTCCCCACTGCTCAAAGGGAGAAGGAGGAAGAAAAGGAAGATTATAAACACAGGTCAAATGTGAGGGGCCTGATTCTGAATGCCTGATGTGGTAACAACAACCTGATTTTTCAGAGCTCTCAAGTTCCTTCAGCTCAAATTTACTTCACTTGAAATTGATCTTTTCCTCCCCAAGACTCAGAACTTGCAGCCTTGAAGGCTGTGTATTTGTTTTCAGCACAAAGGAACAGAACAGCTGAATACCTTCATTTGCAAATGCCAACAGTCCTCCACCTTCTCTAACACAGAACCCCAGGTTTGTGATCATCAGACCTTGGTTCTGATTCAAGAGAATCCCTGAACTCCATTCTTGACCTGAAGTCTTCCAGGTGCTCAACTTTCTACCTACAGGTTCAGTGTGAGCATAATTCAGCCAAAGGCAAACCCATGGACCTGATGCAGGGCAACACAGGACACTTCAGCATTCCTGCAGCTCCAATTCCAGCACCACCACGGCTCTTTATGATTATTTTAACTGGGCCAAAAGCAGGACAGACGTTTGCAAATGGCAACAGCAAATATCTCTGGGTGGCACAGGATAACCTCTGTAGGAGTTCCCCAGCTTCCACGGGTTTATTGGAGCTGCAGGTGTGGAACACCTGCGGCTGGTGTCTGCATTCAAGGTCACAGAACACATCCACATCCTCACAGCTGCAGGGACAGGCAGGAATTGGACTAAATGAGCTTTGCGTTTGGTGGTATTGAATTTATTAATATTTGATGTAGCCTTGTACATCTGTAAACATTTGTTTGTAGCAACTGTTTGGTTGCCAGTTTCAACAAGGGCAAGCCCATCCCTTTTTAGATTTTATTCTTTGTGTTCAGGCTTTAAAAATAAAGAAGCTCAAGCACAAAGATTATTTACAAAGATCCCTCTGGGAAAAAGAGTTTGGAAGTTACATGGGCAGAAGTAATTAGCTTGGAGAATTTACTTCAAATTGGGCCAAGAAAATTGTTAAAAATCACAATGTAGAAAATAATCTTGAATTTAACCAGAGAAGACCTGATAAAATAGGCTCATCTCTGCATTTTATAAATCCAGTAAAACCCACAGAAAAATATAATAAAGAAATTGCTTTTCTTATAATGCTCCCTTATCAGTAAAATCTGCAATAAAATCAAGACAACCCAATAAAAAGAAGCAAATGGGGCAATTAAAAAGAGAGCAGAAACTAGCATGAAACATTTTGAAGAACCATAGCCAGGCCCAAACATTCCTCATTTGTGATGGAAATGTTTGTGATCCCAGTTTGTGATTTCTATTCATATTTAGCATTTTAAGTCTCAGAAACATTAAGGCAAAAGAAGATACTGCAAAACTGAGATGAGTCATTCAGTTCCAAGTTGCAGATTCAGATTTATTAAATGATAAATGATTGCCAGGCTGGCAGAGATAATGAAGGCTAATTAATATGCTCCCACCCAGACCTCTATGCTTTGTCTTTAGATGGGGAATCCACAGGAAGAGGTCAGAAATACTCAGGTTTTGATCTCATTTCTGCACCTGAACCAGTGAAGTCTTAGGAAATCACCTCATTGTTACTGCAGAAAACAAGCTTTGGCTTTTAACATCCATCTTGCTTTTGTTAGGAGATGAAAAATTTAAAAAACAAACAAACAAAAAACAAAACACAAAACAAAACAGGTTTACTCCAAGTGAGTGTGAAGGCTAAATGGGTGAATAGGGGTTCACTATACTCTTATAAACACCATCGGACTTGATGGGAAGAAAAACATTTCAGCAGAAATCCCATTCTAGCTGCTGCCAGGATAATTTCCAATGACATGAGGATTCCAGCATCTCTCTCTGGTGACAAATGCAGTGGTGCAATAAACCCAAAAACTGTAAATCAAGTATTAACATGAAATTTGCAGGACTTCTGACTAAGCTTCCACGGACCAGGAGGCAAAATACCATTCAAGAAGCACCTGGCATTGAGGGAACCATCTGATACTGTGCTGTTCTGGGAATAACTGATTTACAAATCACCTTTCTGCCCTGAAACAGGGTGGGAACTGAGTAAAGCTGCTCCTCTCACTCAGCACAAACTGGCTCTGAGAGCTCTCGTCTCCTGGGAGCTCTGCAGCGGTGCCTGACACCTGACATGTGACATCTGCCAGGCTCTCCTGCGCCATCAGTGAGGAACAGAGCTGCAGTTTAAACAGAAACACACAAACCCCATCATGACTCCTTGCAGCACAACTAAACTCAGAACTGCACAGAACACTTAGGAGCTCAGACACAACCACATTGCCTGTACTTGGTTGTGACGATGACAGATGATGCTTTACTCACCCATCAAAACCTGTTACTCACCTCAGGCAAGCAGTATTTTGCAAGGCTGAACCAATGCCATTACCAAATAAAACCCCAGCCTCATTTCCAGGAACCTCATCAGTTAGGGACTGAAATGAACCTTCAGAACCTGCAATGGAACTGTACCAATGCCTCAAGAGAAAGTGCCAGTAGCCACCAGCAAGAATTTAAGGGCATGAAGAGACAGACTGTCTGTGTCAGTGGAGTAAAAAAAAGACAAAATTCAGAACTGAGGAATTCTGAGCTCCCCCACTGCACTTCCTACTAATTTTTTGTTTCCCACAAAGAGGAAAAAAATGTAACTATAAATCAAGGAAAATATTGCTCTGAAAGATTAGAGTAGGAAAAGGATCTAGGAAGGGAGAGGGATGCTTTGGCTGATATGGAGGAGAAGCAAACACTTTTTTCTAAATTCTGCCACAGGACCACAAGATTAAGTACTTGGGTTTTCAGCAGTTTGGCCAGCTCATTTGTACAACAGAGCCCTTCCAAGTTTCCCCTAAGCACACGGTAACATATGGATTACAGTAGGTGCTATTGTACTGGGAGACAAATAAACAGCACCACAGCAATGTGACCTCAATCAGCTCATAGGATCAGACAGCAAAATTGTGAGTTTACTTTAAACCAGCAGCTCATCCTAGAATGAAGCCCAAAGCACGGCTGGAGCCTTTGAGCTGCTCATCTTGGTTTGCTGACACAGCTGTGCCAAAAACACATTCACATTATCTATTTCAGCAGTCAGAAGAAAAGCACCGGCACAGGCTGTGACTGCTGAATGTGTGCCCATTCCATACCCAGCCCCTCCTCTGCCAATGCCAGCCGGCACTCCTACGCTCCCCCAGAGCACACAGATCAGCACACCTGACAGCGCTGCCTCATCAAGTCTGACTGTGCCCCTTTGCCACCACACCCACCTTGCTGCCTGTCTCTGTAGGTTTGGGTGACACCGTGACAGCCGTGTGGCAGCAGCTCCTCTCTCCTGTCCTTACAGGCACTCGGTGCCATTCTGCACAGCATTCTGACCTATTCCAAACAGATTGGGAGGGATGCAAAAGAAGGCAGAACCTTATTCCATGCCCACAGAGTTAATGCTTTCTGTTCCTTAATGGAAAGAGAGGAGCAGAAACAGAGTGTACTTCCAGTTTTATGGCTTTCACTAAGAGCCTTTGATGCTGAGCTGCTTTCCCAACTCTCACCTCCTCCTGCTTGGGAGGAGCAGTGGCTCTGTGGAGGGCACCTGGCCACTGCCTGAGCCCTGCACAAACCTTCATGAGGCTCAGCTGGGAGCCCCAGGAATGCCTCCTCCAGGCCTGAAACCACAGAGCTGCTAATCCCAGGCCCTGGGAATCACTTGCCACTACAACACTTAAACAAACTTTGAACATCACCTGGAGCCACACAGGAATTACACACCTTAAAAAGCTTCATGCTCTGCAGGAGTGACCCAAAGTAGAATTACAGAATCCTAGAACAGCTTGGGATTGGAAGAGACCTTAAATCCCATCCAGCCTCACCCCATGCAGGTGAGACCATCCTAGGCAGCTCCAAGCCCTGTCCAACCTGTCCACCATCCACCATCCCCAGCCATTCCACCATCCCAGGTGGCTCCAAGACGTGCCCAACCTGACCCTGGACACTTCCATGGATCCAGGGGCAACCACAGCTACCCTGGGTAACCTGTGCCAGGGCCTCCCCACCCTCACAGACAATTCCTTCCTAATATCTGATCTAAACCTGCCTCTGTCAGTGTGAAGCTATTCCTGTTTCCCCTGTCGCTCCAGGCCCTTGTAAATAGTCTCTCTTCAGCTTTCTTGTAGGTTCCCTTTAGGCACTGGAAAGCTGCAATTAGGTCACCTTGAAGCCTTCTCTTCTCCAGGCTGAACAATCCCAATTCTCTCAGCCTTTCAAAAAGTTTAAAAGCTACAGCATAAATAGGGTTGTCAAAACAAATGCTGTGTGATTCATGAATACAACCTCCACCTGTTTGCTTAGCTCCACCATGCATTTATCCAATCACTTTGATGGATTCAATCAGAAACTTAAAAAACCAAACCAAAACAAACAGAAGATGAGCCGAAAGATGCTAAACCTAGCAATAAACCACCCATTCCTTGGGGGGTAAAGTATTTTACCAGTAAATTAAACCACTCTCTGGAAAAGAATCTGCCAAATTCAGCAAAGCACCTCTGCCCTCAAACCACACCTGTGGAGCACAGTGAGTGCTGCTAATTAGGAGAAAGAGGGTTTGGTCAGATCTCTGTTGGCTTTGGTTGCTAATTGATTCCACGTGCAGGAGTGTGCAGCTGCCAGGTTCCTTAACAAGGACTCACTTGGTCATTTTTCCCCCAAATCTCCAATCTGATTTTTCATCCCACTGTGTCTCCTTCTTCCCGCTCTTGTGCCCATGCAGCACAATTGGAGGGCTTGAGGAAAGGCTGAAATAGATTAAAAATTACAGAAAATATGGGACAGAGAGAACAGCGTGTGAGGAAGAAGAACCAACACTGCAACTCAAGAATCACCTTGTTATTTCACAGAGAGACTGTAAATGCCCAGAGTAATCACTGCTGTGGGTCAATCTGGTTTTGATCCAGTTTATCTACATTTCCTTGATATTCAAACTATGCAATTCTGAGAATGGGATTTAGGCCTCCAGAACACTTTCCTGCCCAGAGGTGAGGCATGGACTGGCACATGGACACTCCACACCTTATCTGACAACCCCCACAGTGGGATTGTTGGGGTGTCCTATGCCAGCACTTGGACTCCATGATCTCTGTGGGTCCCTTCCAGCTCAGGGTATTCCATGATTTTAAGATCTCCATCATCATCCTGAGAGAATCTGATTCCATGTCCCAGTGTCAGGATTGCAGCACATGTAATCTCTCAAAAACTACCAGCACTCATGGAAGAGGATAATGGGGTTACACTGAAGCTTCATCCTCAAATCCACATCCCTCAATACCAATGGAATATATTGTCATACCCAGAAGTGTCTGCACTACATGCTTTGCATGAAGATAGAAGTGAGGCCTTCTCCTGCAGATAAACCAACACAATTTTAAGCACATTTAATGTAAGACTGCAGACACTGCTTTAAATAAATTCACAATGCTACTTTTAAAAATCAGTGTAAAGCCTTAAAATTTCAGTAAATAAAGAATTGGTGATAAAATTGTTGACAAACAGCATGGCTGATACAAGGAAAACACACCCCGAGTACTGAGGAGTCAGTGGGGCAGCAGTTCTGCAGAGTACGTCTGGCTGTGTACCCACTCACCCTCCTGCAACTTGCTCATTATGGCAATATAACCATGAAGACAGAATAAATCACCTCTGGCCAGGACAAATGGAGGTCTCTGCACAACCTACCCAGCTGTCCTCAGCAGCTCAAACTGGGCTCTGATTCCACCCCAGCACTCACCGGGAATTACAATTCATTTCATACATGTTCAACTTTAATGGGATTACTTGCAGTATAAAGTGCAATCAATTTTAGGGCAAAACCAGTGCGCAGAGGCCAAAAACATCCTCTGTTTTAATTGCATCTGTAATTACTTTGTAAGACTGCAATCCAGCAGACTACACTGGGGACTCCTATTAATCATTATTACATAGCTCCCAGGGCCAAGCAGGAATACTTGCTCAGGAAAAGACTGCTCCCATCCTCAAAAACATATAATCTGAGTAGATTATAGATCATAAATTGAGGAAGCAAAACACTGATTAGATCACATCAGACTACTCTTAACTGCTGTGTAGGGAAGGAAAGTTTGAAGCATCAAGTCCCTGTTTCCCTCCTTTTTACTTCTGTTTTACTGTATAATAAAACATGGACCAGAAAGGTCTTTTACAATTTGGCACAAAATATCAGATCTCTTTATCTCTTAATCCCAGTTACAGGCTATTTTTAAAAATTTATCTGGGCAGTAATTGAATAAATTAAATGTTTTCATAGCATAAATCTAATCCGATTCCTTGCGGCACCAGGAGCCCATAAAACTGTCCTAATCCCTTTCTCCTGACACCAAACATCACTCAGACTGTCCCACACCGATCCCTACCCGCAGCCGATCGATATTTTTGAATGATTATATTTATCCTTCTATTTATTCAGCGCAGACTTCCCCTCCTAAAATCCCCATTCCATTAGTTCTGCATTTTGAATTTGCTGCCAAACATTTTCATGTTTTTTTTTGTTTTTTTCGTCATGTAAAATCTCTGTTTTCAAACTTAAAATCTTTCTGGTTTTGGCGAGGTCTCCAAGAATTGTTTCTACTGCACTGGATTTATGTTTGTTAGTATTTCTGAGTTGTCACAGTCCCGAGGAGTTTCACCGGAGCGGCGCCCAAGTGGGATAACCCCGATTTTCTCTTCAACTTCTTGGGTCAAAACTGGGTAACCACCACCTCAGAAACTGTGAACACCTCATGACCGTGCAAAAAACTTAAGCCGGCGTTCTGCCGACGTCCACGGACGGGTTTGCGGTGTTTCTGCCCCTTCTGGGGGTTTAAACGCACTTCCCCCCCCGCGGGGCCCCGGCCCGGCGGCGCCATTTGCACTCCCGGCCCCCCACCCCCCAAGATGGCGGCGGCGGCGCCCCCGCCCGGCCCCGACCCCGGCCCGCCTCACTCACCGCCGGCCCGGCCCGGCCCGGCCCGGCCCCGCCGCCGCTCCGGGGCCTCCCGATGGAGCCCAGGCAGCGCTGCGAGCCCCGCGGGGCCCCGAGCGCATGCGCGGCCCCGGCCCGGGAGAGGCGGCGCTGGCTGGGGATGGGGAGCGGGAGCGGGGTGGTACCGGCTGTGGGTGCTGGCTGTGGGGAGCTGGATGTGTGGTACTGGGATAGGGGGCACGGGGATGCAGATGCACTGGGGGAGAGACGGCTCTGGAATGGGCTGGTACTGGGACATGGAAGCGTGGGATGGGAACGAGCTGGGATAGGGCTGGCGGGGGGATAGGCGTGAACTAGCGCAGAGCTGGCGCTGGGACGGGGCAGACGCGGGGCACTGGGGGCACGGGGAGGGGGCATAGGGGTGTGAGGGGCACAGCCCCACTCCCCGAGCCGGCCGGGTGAAGCCCGGGCACGGCCGTGGGCGCTGGGGCAGGTTCGTCCATGGCTGAGACGGGGTTTGGGAAGGGCAGGTTTGGGACGGGGAGCTGTAAATCGCCATTGCCGACGGAATCCAACAAATCGTGACCACGGTGTACGGCGGCCTCCCACGCCCAGGAGTAACAGACGATATTGTCTCGTCTTTGCATTTGTTAAACTTGTTTGTCGTCTCATCTGGGATTGTTATTTTCCTTTGTATTTGAATTTTGTAACAATAAAGGAGGTGGGGGTAGGATTTTTTAATGACGCATCGGGGGTTTCCGCCAAGAGCACAAGCAGACCCCAAGCTGTGACAGCTTAAATGGAATGGGATTTCAGGAAAATAATAAATGAGATTTGAAATGGCTCATTTGAAATACACATCATAATATTATTCATCCCTTGAATGAGGCACATAAAATACCCTTTAGGATCTTTAAATTTAGTCAGAAAACAAATACATTTCTTACCTCATCTGCACCAGCAAGTTTCAGCTAAAATGCAAATCCTGAAGATGCCTGCAGCCAGTGTTGAAGTATTCAGTGGGTCCAGGTTTACACGGCTGTCGGACCCAAAAATGTTACTAATAATTAAACCATCCATATTTATTTACACTCTTAATTTGATTTTAATTGTTGTAAGTTTTGTTGAGACATCCCCAGTTTGGGGCTTCTTGCCCTTTTATCTCACTCTACTGACTTTTAGCCAGAACCTGCCCAGTGCCCACCACATGCATTCCTGCCTTTCCTCCTCAGAGCTCACCTCCAAGGTGCCTGATAAGACAGTTAACCCAACCCTAAATCAGATTTGGGGCTGTTTTTCAGTGCATTTTTTGGTAGGTACTTTCAGTTTAAAGCTGAGTCCTCACTTTGTTTATAATTATTCTCACAGAAATATTATCTGGGAATATTGTGGAGTTATTGCAATAGACATTCCACTAATCTTTCTCTCTGGCTATGCAATATAATTATTATTGCTAATATTTTATATTATTACCATTGCCCTGGTTTCACGCCTGCTGCCAGGCAGATCTCTGCAGTTTCAGGAGATCAAGTTTGCAGCAACTCCAGGCTGGAAAAGACAAATTCCCACACCAGGGAGCCACATGAGCTGGAGGTTTTAATGCAAACCCTATACTTTAATGCAAAATGAATGGGCGAGACTCACTCAGTGACGTTTGTGAGACAGAAATGAACATTAAATGATGCAGCAGTGCCCAGCTGAGGTGCATGCCTGGCCCTGCCCATGGAATTGCTGTTCTGGGGGCACTCCCAATGCTTCCCACTAATTATCAGCAGTTCAGATGTGTCAGAATGTCCATTTCCTGGGAATTCCTGCTCCAACACTCCAACTCACACGTGGTGGCTGGGGAGGATGAGCCCATCCCAAGGTCTGTCCCTGCTCTGGGCAGCAATGCGTGGTGTGTCCAAACCCTGCACTTCAGACCCAGGAAGTGCCATTGCTCCAGGTGTTCACACATGAAGGATTTTTTCTTTCCCTCTTCTTACTGCACAAAGCGACAACCTCCACCTCAGATCTAAGAGTCCTACATACCTCCCTCCAAAGGCCTGTCCTCAGGTATTTAAGAAATAGATGCTTCTCCCAAAGGGCTCATTAAAACCTGGCTTGGTCATTTGGAACAGAGTTGCCAGACAGCAGGAAACTGGAGTCACTTTTTAGTCTTTACCTAGACTGTATAATTTGCAGATTTTCTTAAAATTATTTTTCAGTTAATCATCCCTTATTAGTAAACATCTTGCCTTGGCTGGTTTGCTTCTGTATTACAATTAAGCAGCAAAAAATGATTAAAAATGTCATTTGAGAGTATAAGATGTTAAAGTACTAAATATATATAGGTGGAAAAGGCATTTCCTTCTGAAGATATCACTTCCACAGAGATTTCTCATGCTGCTGTAGTAATATGCCATTTGATAAAGTCTGAGCCACTTGCTGAGCCCTGACCCCTCTCAAAGTGTGGGGAGATATTTTGTGTGACAAGCAACTCTGACGATCTATTACCCCTTCATCTTTTTAATATGGCAGGACAAGTTCCAAATGATCAGATTATATGGAATTACTGCACCTATGAAGTGACTCTCACTGAAGAGCCGCTGCCATCAGCTGAGAGCAGTTTGGAATTGGCTAAAGGACAGTATTAGGGGAAGATGTAACGAAACTTGTTATTCCAGACCAATAAAATACATTTTGCCTTCTATTTTTCAGAATCTTGCTTGCAGGCAGAACAGGTGCTGGAGATGTCACTTCTTCATTCAAAGCCGATTGTGCAGAAGAGCTTGTGGGAAGTTCAGTCTCAGCAATTTGCAAATGGCCCAAGTCTAAATTCGGGATATTATTCAGGAACACCTACACACCTACAAAACTCCTGCTAGAAGCTGTCCTCCTGTTGTGGTGTGTTTTGCTTTGAATCCATGTTCTCCCTAATCCCTTTTCCTCCCCAGCTGCTAAATTTCCCAAGCCCTTCCCTAACCTCCTCCCTTCCAAGTTGTCAAGCGTCCCTATCCCTGCCCCTTTCTCCAGAGAGTTCTGTGTCTGTCTTGTTGCCCTCGACACCCCCCTAGTTACTTTGCATTATTTCCACACACCCCCCTCCCCCCCCCATTTTCCCCGATAGGCTCATAAGCTATTTGCCCCACCTTATACTCCTCTCTTACCATATCCTCGTTGGGTCACTTTCCTACACCCCTACTCCTGAGCTGCTCCATAAAAACTTCTGTTCACCCCGCCCCAGTCTTGTCTGGGAGCCCAGGGATAAATCCATCCTGTTCCACCCCAAGACCGGTGTCACTGCTGTCTGTCCCTGCTGTGTCCCTGCCGATAACTGGGAATCGCAGAGCTCGCAGGGGACGGTCGTGCCCCTGCCACAGCCGCCCCACACGCCCCGCGCTGTAACACCTCCCATCTCCCCAGGTCCCCAGGGATGCTGGGGACATACCACAGAACTGCCGCCACCACCCTCTGTGCTTCCAAGCCCAGAAGCACATCCTGAGCTTTTTCTTTTATCAAGATTCTTCCCAAGCACAGGGGTTTTAGTAGGAGGAAAAACTCCTGGAAAATATGTTGGAGAAATAAGTTCTTTATCTGGACTGTATTCAAGTGTTGTGCCTACACTGAATTTGAAGTGACTTTCTGAATTAGGAATCTTTTCTCTGTGAGTAACTCTCTACAAATTCAGGATTGCCTCAATCAATAGAAAATGCTGACAATCACAACACAGCACCACATAACCAAATGTCATCAAGCAAAAATAGTCTTTATTCAAATTTCATGGAAACCGGGATCACTGTACTTTGCAAGACAGGGAAAAATAAAATAAAAAAATTTAATATAAAACAAGGATATTGTCACAATACCAGAATATGGAACTATAGTTCTTTTCCCTACAGATTACTGCAAATACCTCTATTTTTTTTTCTTTTGACTGTGCTATTCACAACTTTTTAAGTCCAAAAAATATGGAACAAAAGTAGTATGAAACTAAGACTTAGCACTTCCACTAAATGGCAGACATCAAAGGGCATCAATCGAGGGCAAGATCTGTTGAACCCATACCTATCGGTCATCACTGCAATCCCATAAACCCAGCAGGGTGCAGTGCTCATTCCCTGCAAGGCTCTCATTGGTAAACAGGGCAATTTGGGGGCTTGAGGAAGAGCTGCATGTAAAGAGAACCTTTCTATTGGATAGAAAATGAGTGGAGCAGCCTCACACCAGAGAGCACTGCAGGGAGAGAGCGCTCCAGTTAATGACAGACAGACCATCAGGTTCTTAAAAATACACAGCATCGACAGGGTTTCTACTTCAATCACTTGGTTACAGCTACTAAACATGTACAAAAGACTTTTCCAACCATTCCAAGTGGGGTTGCAGCAAAGTTAGGATCTGGAGCGGGACCTTGACCGTGACTGGGAGTGTGACTGAGAGGCAGACCTAGACCTGGACTTGGACCGGGACCTTGGCTTTGAAACAGATTTAGACCTGGAACGAGAATCTGATTTGATATTTGGTTTGAACTTGGAAATCGACCTAGACCTGGAGCGGGACACTGCATCCTCCCCCTTGCCTTTCACCTCTTTCTTGACTGACTCGGATTTGAGCTGCTCCTTTTCTTTGGAGCCTGACCTGGACCGCTCGTGGCTGTCCTTCCTTCTCTTCTTGATGCTGCCTTTGCTATCTCGCTTGCTGCGCCTCTTGCTTTTCTCACTCTTGCTGTGGCTCCGGCTTCTACTTCTACTGTCATCCCTGCTCCTTTTCCTACTTTTCCTTTTATCCTTGCTGTGGCTCCTGCTCCTACTCTCATCCCTGCTTTTGCTCCTGCTTCTCCCTTTGCTAATGCTCTTCTCCCTGTCTTTGCTTCTACTTTTCTCCTTGCTTCTGCTCCTCACGCTCTCCCTCGCCTCGCCCCTCTCCTTACTCCCACTCCTGCTCCTGCTCTTTTCCTTGCTGTGGCTCCTGCTCTTGGCTTTCTCATCATTGTTATGGAGAATGCCCTCGGATTTATCTTTGCTTTTGTTTCGGGA